AATTTAAATCCATGCAGGCACACACAACCGAACGCGATTAAGTTTAGAAATTTTCTAGCCGTAAATCTTAGTTAATTTAATTAAATGTAGGCCGTTCGTTACAGTTGCCAGACCTGACTGGCAAAGGGTTATAAATAATGTAAACCTACGATCGCTCTGCACAAAACGCACTAAACTTAATGCAAATCGAGGACTTTAGAAACAAATTAAAAAGTCTATAAAGAGAAAAAGCATTTAATTAATTCACAAAGGGTAAATTAAAAACACGTTCATGGCTTCTCTTATTTGCCTAAACCTCTCGTGCAACGTTTTTTTGAAATGAAGTTTGAAGAATCACATAAAAAGCTTTTAGAAGAGCTTAATACAAAGTAATTTTGTCCAGTTCATTTAAATGCTGTAGGCAGACTCTCACACCGCCGTCGCTACTCGATGACAATAGGCGGACCAAAGTAAAAATGGGAGGCTTGTTATTTGTCAAAGATATATTTAATTCAAGAACCGTAAAAACGTTATCGTTAAATCTGGATCACTTGTGCCCATATTTTACTTTAAGGTTTTGCACATTTGCTGGGAAATTTTTCGTTTTAACCAGTTAATCCGTCCATCGGTTCTTGTCGGATCTCCTCATCGAATTTGGTCACTATGAATATATATGAAATATACAATAGTAACGTGTTTCAGAATGTGTGCCACGTGCGCATTGTAACCTACGTTTATATTACGGATATTCTGTGCAGGACGAGTATACTCGACATCGATACATTTTTGCGACACCATTTGATCGCACATTTTTCAAAGAGATGACATAATTAACTAATTAATTAATCCGTTTCGTCTAAGCGCTATGGATGGACTCCCACACCTGGAACTAAACGACAAAGGCCATGAATAGTCCACAATTCCGAGTAAAAGGGTGCATTAAAATCAGTCTTGACGGACCATAGTAAAGAGATAATATAGAAAAAGGAACGTCAATAAAGAATATGTTCGACACCATTAATGGTGTGAGAAATAAAATCCCTGGTAGTGAGAGATAATATCCTTGGTACAGAGAAATAATTGCGTATGTATGAAATAATATCCCTGGTACATAGAAATTATTAATTTTTGTCGGCAACTTAGATCAATTTACGATTACAATATCTGTTTCAGACCGCTGTGTGGATTGGTCAGTTTATTTATTGACATAACCATTCACTTAGCAAATGACCCAGTGTATGGAATGGTCGCAAGCAATCTACAACTGAGACCGCTACCTAGAATGAACTGAAATCTACGCAGACGTATGACAGCAGGAGTAAAAAGCAATATGTGATGCAGTTATGCGTACGGCTTCGAAATTGAAACGATTGTATAAGTGAAAGCAGTTCTCTGACTTATTCATCTAACCGTCGCAGACTATATTACATTTGAAGTTAAGCCACCATATTTGTGGAAATGCGTCCATTTTTTTAGACCGACAGGATTTAATTAAATCTTTTCAAAGGTTCTGCGGGCCCTATGGTAGCGACCGATGCTAAGTTACAATTATCACGAATTGCTTGAACCCAAAGCACTCCTTTCATAAAGGAAAAAATTCAATGTGCCGGGATCTTAGTAAAGGGATAAAAGTTGCGTAATTGTTGTGAATGCCTTTATCTAGTAGGCGACTGTTTTAAAAGTGAGGCCGCCCCGCCGTCATTCCCCGCTCGCTAACCTCGCCAATCCCCCTCCCCCCGATCCTCCATTATATATATAAAAATTTTTGAAGGTAATGACTGGCTAGTTACAATTGGCTGTCTTACAGAGTTGCAATAAGTCTAAATAGTCTATAAAACAAACCCAAATCCCACGCAATCAAAGAACAAATACAAGCGTACGTCAAAGGTGAACATAGAAAACAAATATTTATTAAATGTGCTATTAGGCGTTCTTTAGTAAGTGAAATTGTTTTGAAAACTAAATCTTGATTCATTCATCATATCCGTCCAAGACAACATGTTGCATATGCATCAAATTTTGAATAATTTTTAAATAAATTTTACAAGAAATTGACTTAAGCGTAAATTTAGGTGGTGGGTTAACGAAAATTCGCCCTAAGGCCTATATGTCTCACTTTCACTTATTAGATTTTTGTTGTTTTTCTTCTATATTCAGAAAGAAAACCATTGAAAAGTTGAACGTTTCGCACACACATGCATAAACATAAATATTTTAAAAGCTACGATAATATTTGTTGTAGTTAAAGATTCTGCGCTGCCGTTATGGTTTTATCATTTAGTTTTTATAAGTTTTTATAATTTTTTTTTCTCTAACTGAAAAAGCAAAAAAAAAATTAAAATTTAGTTTTTTAATTATGAAAAAGAAAATAACAAATCAATACACATAATAATGTCAATGAACTGGCGGGTTGTTTGCCAAGAAAGAAAGAAAGAAAGAAAGAAAGAAATGTGAAAACAACATATTTTCATACAAAGAAAGAGAAATAAGACGTAAAAGAAATCTGAGCATAAAAAAATTAATGTATTAGAAATTAATGGAAAAATAAAATCAAGAAAAAAAAAAAAAGCTTTTTGAATAGATTTACACATTAAAAGTAAAGGTCACACATAAAACAACATGCCAAGTGTAGATATTGTGTGTTATCTACATAATTAAAAATTACTTATAAATTATTCAACTCAATTATGCTTAATTTCTCCTGTCAGTGACAATAAGAGAAAGAAAAAATAATAAAAGAAAAAAAACTAATAAAAAAGCCTTATATGGACAAACAGTGGATACCCATCAGCAAATTATAAAACAAAGAGCACTCGTTAATAACTATTTATGTCAAATTACAAACTGATGCCGCTTATGGTTTTTGAAAAATAAATTATTAATTATTCATAAACTATTTTTAAATTTCGATGTTATTTCATTTCAGTCTTTCAAATAAATTAACTATTGCAGACAATTTAGGGGAGCATTCGACTATACGATGTTGATTCCATTGCGAAGTATTCTCTTTAGTTTTTACGTCGCTGTATATAAATAAATTCGCGCCGAAGTGTGAACACAATAGTTTATTAAGCCGGAAAACACTTTGAAAGGGGATTTTTGACTTAAGCACATTTAATCCAATGACAAAAGTGGAATGACGTTTCAAACTGCTAATCATCTTGATGCAGGCCAGGTGAACCATCAAAATTTCTCGTAAACTCACAATCACGATAACGATCGATATATAATGTAATCATAGTTTTCCAAAAAGCCAAGTCGCCTGTGAATGTCTATCGGTAAAAATCCCCTACCAATATCCGCCTTGTTGGTCATGTTAGCATTATGAGTTTAATATATCCGATGATATATATATATATTATTGAATATGAACCTACGCTGGTTGTTAAGTTATGCTATGGATGGCCCCTATAAAAATTTGTACAATCGGCAAAAACTTTTCAAATAATTAATATTCTATGGCTTAATGGACTTTTGTATGAGAGGAGTTAAAAAATCGAGAAGAATAGAGAATATGCTAAAAATTTAAAGTTACGTTACGAATTTTCGAAAAATCCAGCATACAGAATAATATGTGATCGAGGAAAGGCATTTGCATAGTCCCGAGATTGCACACTGCTAGAAAAAAATAATAAAAATATGTAAAGAGAACATGTCCACAACACACCTCGAAACATGGATAATGTTTCTTTAGTCTTTCTATATTCTTTTTAATTACTCTTTTTACGCAATCACTTAAGATAAGTGATGATAATTTATATAGATATAAGCACGTTGAAATGAAAGAGTAGTTGAGAGAAATATCTCTAAAAGGAATATGCTTAATGTACACAAATATTCCTAGACGCATTTATAAAGACTGTACATATATATATATATATATATATATATTGCAAGAAAAGTTTTCTTTACACATATATACACATTTAAAGTAAAATCTTATCCAATAAAAAAAATTTTTTTTTTTTTTTGGAAGTAATTTAACCAATTGTGTGAACTATTATAGTCGGTTAAATGCAGTCATTAAGAACCTTAAATAAACATTAAAAAATTGAGGCAAGACTCTTGCTTCTTATAGCGTACATCACTTTTGTGGGTGTGTGCAACGTTTACAAAAATTTAAAATATAATTACATTTTATTACACTGATCAAAGCTTGTCCGTCCATCTGTCTATATTGTTTTGTTGTGTTGTGTTGAATCTACAGGCCGCAGTTTTTGAGATGGCCGTGGTTTTGCCCAAGGACGAACCCTGCTGAAAATACTTGGGATCGGATCACTTTTTGTAAGGGCGTTAAATGAATAGATGGGGGGCGCTGCGACCCACTTTAGTCTTTTTATTTCTTTTTATTATACAATATTGTTATTTGATAACACTATTCAGACTTTTTCGCTTTCTTTGGAGGAGAATCTGAGAATCTTTAAGAAGAGTAACAGAATATACAAGGAACATATATATGGCCAATCAACAGACGCATATTAAGTAACTTGAACTCAGTGGTAATTGCAAGCACATTATCTGCGGAATTAATATTTCTCACAAGATCACAAGCATAGGTGAGATAAATAAATTAAAAGCTCATTAATTAAATAACTGGAACGAGAGAGCAATTAATTTTTGCAATAAAACAAAGTGAAATAGACTTTTATTATTACTCAAGAAAAGTATTTCCGCTCAAACCTAAAAAGTATGTCTGTTGTTTCCATTTTATTGTGAATCGACTAAGATCAATGATTGCTTTCGCGTACTGCCAGTCAAGGCATTTATTTCTGTTACATAAAGGAGAAAAAAACCAATTAATAATTGCTTATAGTATATGAATCACAAATTCGTATGAGTTGCGACTGCGGAAACAGACGCATGTGCATGAAAAAAATGAATAATCATTTCTATAAAAGGTAGCCACCACGCCCAAGCATTTTAAAACACGCGTATCCTTCTAATTGCGTGCACTCCTACGCTCTAGCCCTCTCACCCTATACAGGTTGCTGCGTAAAAGACTCGAAGTGTCATTCAGTGATGTATTTTAATATCACAAGGTGCAGCAAAGGGAAAAGATATTCTCGCTAAAACAGCTGGCAATAAAGTAAGAGTCATTTTCTTCAATAATAGCATTTCTTACACAAATTGAATCGATTTTGGAGTAAATACGAAGGTCATGCTAAGATACGATATTCTTTCTATTTTCTTCTTCTGTTACACCCCTAATAGGAGTATAAATGAATCTGAATCGGTGGCTCACAAGCGAATACTTATGCGAAATAGGAAAAACTGCGCCGTCCTTAAAGTGTTAAAGGATATACAATGTTTACTTCTAATATATTACCATACTTTACTAATATATAACCTAACAACCTTCCTGCTGGAACGTCATCGTTAGGACGTAATTCTCGGTGTGGGCTTTTTTTTCTTGAAATGTATAAAAGTTAGCTCCAAACAACAGAAGCTCTACTCTTGTGCTTAGTTAGAAGGATAATTCCTCCAAATCGAGACAAGTAATGAAGAATGAATGGATGCGTTACGAAATCCAAAGCATACATGAAAAAAAAAACAAACAAGACTAATCTCGACAATAAAGCATATATCGTACCGTCGACACTAATTGAAGACGACCAACTGGGTGTAGTATGTTGCTGTGCGTTGCTCCAAAGAAACAATATCATCATTCAGTGCTTAATGCTAAACGATACAGCAAATGAAAAGTAAGTTCTTCGAAAGACACGCCTTATGGAATACTCTACAACCTTTACATTCATTCTTACTTGGAACTTGTTCCAACCGTAAGCGAAAGAGAGCGCCTACTAATTATCATGGCATTTACAACAAACTTAACCTTAATCTTTTGAAATTCACATCCGAAATAATAATACGCCACATCCAAAAATGATAATGAGCTAAGCGTCTTTTATAAGATTGTTTAAGATGGAATTCTTGCCAGAGGAAAAATAAATGTTCCATTTTAATAGATATCACCGAAGGATGCGGGGTATATTCATCTTGTCAAAACCTTAAAGACCGCATAAACTATATATATATTTTTGACCAGCGTCAAATTCTAAACCGATTTAATCATGTCTGTCTGCGGTAAACATCCTTTGGGCCGCAAAAATGCAACAATCGGCTTGAACATCATTGGTACAAACACTGGACTGGAAGTTCCTGCCCAGAGGTTGACATTGAAATTGATCCAAATCGTAAACCGCAGTTGATATGACGATAAAAGTTTGAATTTATATTCTATGGCTGGCCCAAAAGCATCCACGCAGAAAATGTAAACAATCGTGCTTGTCTATTTAATATTGTTAGACATAAAAATTTCATTACTTTATCGAAAATTTGCAGTATCCAGAAAGAAGCCTCAAATGCCCTCTCTCTACCAAACGTTTCAAAGGATTGGGTCGCGGGCGATTATGACCTTTTTACCTGTTTTTTTTTTTATAATCATTAAATAGTTATTGAAAATACGGTTCTAAACTTCTTTAGCAATCTGAATTTCTTAATAAAAAAAAAAAGGAAAAAGATCTTAACACAAACTTCGCGTGTCTTGTTCAAGTCATTTTAAATGAACTTTGAACTTCAACTACTTAAGGGCTTACCAAGAGAAGTCTCTTGTAACAATATTTAGCTGTCCTTGAGACGCAATTTTTATGGAGACTTATGTAAGTAGATAGCGTGCAACCGATTGTCACAAATGCAGGCTTTTTATAGAAAGTAGAATGGAATGATTTCACTTGATTACAAGTAATATGACACAAAGTATATGAATATGAACATAATTAATACCCCCCTTAACACCCTTTTCGTGTCGTTTTAGTAATATTGCGTGCAGTAAAAATAGAATATTTTCCCGAGCAATTTAGTTTAAGTTATGATTATAAAAATAAATACTCACAAACACATAGGAAAAACAACACAAGAAAATTCAAATGACTAGCATAACAACTAATTAAGGGAAAGAGCGATTCGTATATACAAAAATAAAAGATAACATCAAAAAAATGCAAATAAAAATTAGAAATATAACAAATTTAGAATTTCCATGCATTAGATTTGCAATCATGATGATAATAATGATCATAATGATAATCAACAACGATTACGACGATGAATGATTGAAGTTGGCGTTGGGTCTAGAGACCACGTATGTGCAACTCTCATGTTTAGGTGTTGTGTGTGTGTGTGTGTATGAAGAAAAGGGAAAGAAGATAAACGTACAAAGAGAACGATTCACAGAAAACATGGGAAGCTGTAGCCACAACAATAACAACAAAAGTGGCGTTGACGTTTTGTAATTGTCACTGAAACGTAAACACACAGAATGCTTGCATGCAGGGACAGATACAAATATAGAACGTTGTACGAAAATACAACAACAACTCTTATTATATACAAATAAATGCATATGATATGGAATTAAGAATAACAATAATAACAACAACTACGGCAATATATAAAAACACACAATCAAACCAGTAGAGAGTAACATGTGTAACGCAGCACAAGTGATTATAATAAATTACAGCAAAAACAACACATGTACAAACAAAAATAAAGATAAATAATTAAAAAAGAATGTTTTTGCTTTGTTTTTTTTTTTCAAATAAACAAAAAAAAATTACCATTTATGCAGATGCAATGACATAAACAGCTCACTATATACACACTCGTGCGCATACACAGAAATTGTTTGTTGCCAGTTGTAAGCGTTGAATATCAGATCTGGCTTACTTCACTCACACGCAAAACATACACGTTCTCGAAGACTTAAATAGTAGTAGTATGTGGGTGCGTATGCAAAACACAATCGCTCTTATGGACTTTCAATAATATTCGAATCCGCTGAACAAATCCCGTAACACCGCTGGGTATACGAATGTCTGACGATTAAACAAATGACAAACTCGCACTAATAAGCAAACAGCAGCCACCCGTCAAAACCTAACTACTGTGAGCAGTGCTTTGCTTTTCTTCTTTTATTTTTTTTTTGTTGTTGTCTCTTGAGTGTTGTTGTTGCTGTTGTTTATTACACGGAGAACAACTTTTCCGCTGTTTTGGTTGTTGTCAGTATTATATGGTTAGCACGAATTAACTGTAAGTATGGAAAAAGTATAAAATATAAAGATCGGTGAATAAAATGGGGGAAAAAAAAGAAATCAAGGTTTCTTGTTTTTGCTGTTATACAGTAAAAAATAGCAGCAACAATGCAAAAGTTCGACATAACGATACGTACCAGTAACAGCGGCAACAATAATTATGAATTGCTGCTCGCTGAGGTCTGAAACATATAACAAATAAAAAAACAAAAAAAAAACGAAAGAAAAGAAGAAAAAGAGTAGCGGTGTTTGAATGTATTCCTCAAGTGTGTGTATGGTGTATGTGCGTCTGCACATGTAGGCATGTAAAGAAATGTGTGGTCGTCGTCTAAAGCTAAGATTATAATGACTATTGCATTTTATTGTATTGGCCAGTCTGACACAATAACACAACATCACTAATATGTAATAGCAACTTCTCTGTTGCGAGTTGGATTTCTGTTCGTCTTGTCGTCTTCTGGTCTTTTCCTTTCTGGTCGATGCTGCCCGACACACACACTCTATTGTTATTCAAGACTTTACGCTTTAATGATTTCTTCGTGTGGACGTTGTTGTCTTTTGCTACTTTGCAGAATTTCTTTCGCACCGGATTTTCCAAGAAAAACTACAAAAACCTAACCAACACCGACAACAATAACATTTTTACTAAATCAATAACGATTTTTTCACACAAAAAAAAAACCATTATCTAATTTTATTCATTTCTTCTTTTTTCAATTCGTTGTCATTTGTTAACTCAATTAAATAACTTTGTAAATTTCACTTATTTTCAATAAATACGGGCGTCGATATGCATTTATATATTATGCGATTATATGTGGATACGTATGTACATATCCATTCCTTCTTTTTTTTATGTTCACCAAAAAAATGCATTTCACCGCGTTATAAGCATTTCGTAAATTCATATTCACAATCAACAGTTTATTAGAATTATAACTATTTTTACCTAATTAAAGTTTTATTTGGAAGTTAAAGGTAAAGGCAATTATGCACAAAGTATTTCAAAAAAATTACTAGAAAATAGAAAAAAAGCAATCGTGCTTGCAATTGCTGCCTAAATAAAGAAAATTTACTCAATAACTCAGTTCCAAGGAAAGATTGTTAAAGAAAAAGAATAACAGGGTGTCTTTCACGCTCTATTATGATCTTTTAAAGTTTATCTAGAAACAGGGTGGTGAAAAGAAACATTAAAAGATATATTATTCATTATTATTATTATTTTAATTTTAGACTAATGAAATGAATTCTTAGACTTAAAAAAGACATTGAGCACTAGCAACACAGGCTATCGGCTCATATATTATTCAATAACAAAAGTACTCTTAAAAAGTAAAGAATTTTTTTAATAAATAGTTGTAAACGTTGTTTAATAAATATCACAATAATATATGAGAGTTAGAATAAATGGGAAATAGATTTATCGTAAACATGGCGAACATTAATATACTAGGCAAAGGAGCGGACAAAAACCTTGCAAAATAAACAAGAGTGAATATTATTATATATTTAATATTAATATTATGCGGGATTTGAGTAAATCTGCTACCATATGTGATTGTTGTTACAAATTTTAATGCTTATTTACATTTACTCTGGACGTGTTATTGCTCTCATTTGTAAGACCGTATGTTGCCGTAAATGTGAATCCGTGTAGAAAACGAATGGAGAACATGTTTTATTGCATAAATATGCTCGAATACTATTGATGGGAAGTTTTACTGCCACAAAAATCATACATTCGTTGTTGATAGCTACATATTTAAAAATCTATTAGATAAAAAATTTGAAAACAATAATATTTTCTTAAGAAGTAACACATTTTGCTATTATTTATTTATTTATTTATTTATTTTATTCCACTTATACTAGAAACTCAACTAAACAAATAACAGTCGAGTTCAATAGGCTCTTAATGCAGAACTAGTATTAATTAATTTTATTAAAATTAATAAAATTGAGTATAAGCATAATAAAACAAATAAGAAGAAAAAAAAGAAAAAAAAGCATGTACACTATCAGCATAGGAGCACACTTACAACCGGTACAGGACCAAATTGCAAATGAACCCCTAAGCCATCGCAAACATGCATAAGCCTGGCAACCGATAATAAATTGACAATAATTCACTTTCGAAACGTAACGACTTTTTAAGGATAAAAGTTAGTTTAAATACGACATAGGTAAGTCGCGCGTATTAAGCAATGTTGCTTTAATGGACTTTCAAACAAATCTACATTTCTCAAGAGACGGTAGGGACAGCAGAAGCAACCTATTTTCATACGGAGGAAGAGAGGCAATCGGATCCCAACCCAAATTTCTAAGGGCAAACAGCAAGAATTGCTTTTGAGCAGATTCAATTGAATCTACGTAGCACCTATATGAAGGAGACCACACAACTGAGGCATACTCGAGTATGGGTCTAACCAAACACATGTACAGCCTTTTCGTAATGTAGGGATCATCAAGCTCTTTGGACCAACTTTTTATAAAACCAAGCGCGGACCTAGCTTTGCTAATCGAGAGCTCAATATGCAAGTTAAAACGTAACCTATGGTCAAATAGAACGCCTAAATCTGTAATCGAATCGACGTCCTCCAACTTATGCGAATCTATGAAATACTGAGTAATGAATGACTTTCTTCTTGAGAATGAAGGCTTCTTACATTTACTCAGATTTAATTTCAGGAGATTCAAAGAGCACCATGCAACAAAATTATCCAAATCACCTTGAAGCTGATGTGATTGCGATTCAACAGAGAAGGAAGAAAACAGTTTCACATCATCAGCATACATTACGATCTGGCTGGAATTAACCACCGATGGGAGATCGTTAATGTATAAACTAAATAAAATGGGACCTAAGTGACTTCCTTGAGGGACGCCAGACGTAACGGGGAATTCATCCGAGCTAATGGAGTTAAACAAAACTCTGAAGATAAGTAGGGTGGGAAACCAGAGGCTTGGAGTTTAAAGATAAATAGTCTATGGTTAACCATATCAAAAGCTTTGCTTAAATCAGTGTAAATAACATCTGTGTGAGAGCCACTAGAAAAAGCCTTGAAAACATGACAGGTAAACTCTAAAAAGTTGGTGACTGTAGATCGCCCTTTCCGAAAGCCGTGCTGGTGCGGAGAAATATACGAATTAATGGCGAAGGCCAAATGCTAAGTCACAATACGCTCGAACCACTTGGGCAAGACACTCAACTTGGCTATGCCTCTGTAGTTCTCAACAAATTGTCTACTTCCACTCTTGTGGATAGGAATAAGGAAACTACTCTTCCAACATGAAGGGAAAATACCTGAATACAAGGACATGTTAAAAATCTTTGAGATCACACCACACAACTCGACAGCGCAAGATTTAAGTGCACATGATGGAATTGCATCAGGTCCAGGCGAACAACTGTATTTTAGAGAACTCAACCCTTTGAAAACATCATCTTTCGAAATAACCAAGTTAGGTATTGAAACCGAGTTAGTTATAGGATATGGGTAGTTTGCTGATAAATCGAAATTAGCAATCGAAAAGTTTCGTCGGAAATACTCAGCAAATAGATTTGAGATTTCAAAATCATCCGAGGAACCAGAGCCATTAAAAGAAACATGAGAGGGATATGTGGAAATTTTTCTTTTAGAGTTAACAAATTACTTGCCTCAAATGTGCTATAAAATTATAGAAAACACTCTTATAAGTTAATAATACATTGGAACGAGGAAGCAATGAGGCGGTAATGGGCGGCATTTAATTGGGAGCGGCAATCGACGGCTTATACTTGTTGCTGTGTTGCCGCTTGAAGTGTTGCGCCCTGTATATTGTTCAGCATCTGCACGGCAATCCCCCCATGACATGCTATATGACGGCATTTATCCGCTCTAATCCCAGAGTGGAGACCTTTACAATTTGTTTGACATCGTCCTTTTTGCTCACGTTTTTATTGACGAACGCTTCTAATACATGTGGGTAAGCATATAGTAACCTTACGCGATGTGTGCTGCCGTCTGGTGGCCTCCTGGTGTGTACTGTTAACGAAATTTTTGAGTAATCTTCTCTTCAGATGTGCCACCTGCGCTGATGTCCATGGTCCGTCATAATCGTCATCAGCCATGATAATACACTCCTCTATCACATTTTCAATGCTCGACATGAAAGTGCCATTCGGCGTACCAGTCCCGCCAGTGCTAGTGTCAGCGTCGTTTGTAATTGTTATCAGATCTGCTAACACATCATCTATGGATGGTATAGCCCTATTTAACGACACTCCCTACTTAAACCCTCAAACTATTTTCTTGTCACGGTCGAGTTGTTTTTTAATTGTCTCCGCGACCCACTTAAATCCCAATTCATTCGCACACCATATGTATGCGGACTGTACGACAAGTCCCCGCGTTCCAGGCGATGCCTAATGCATTCTAAAGTTGTTCTTAACTTGTCAACGGACCCTGCACGTTTTAGTTTCGTGTTAAGTCTAACAGCTAGTTCCTTGTATTGTCCTTTAGTCGACCCCTCCTACACCTTTTTTTTAAATTTTTTTATTCGCAATTGTCCACTTCCCACAACTTCTTTGTGCACTAAATTAATTTTATGCACACTTTTAATTCATTGAATTTCTTCAATTTAAAGATCTTTTTATTTGAAATATGTTTAATTGTTCTCAATTTATCACCCAATTTAAATTTTCCAGTAACTTCTATGTGCACTTTTAAAATGAATTTGAATTCACCTTATTTTTCCCTTCGCACGGTTTATAAAAAGTACCACATGCTCAGAATAGAGAGACTGAAATTCACAATGTTAATGTGAAATGAATGAAAATGCACAAACTTTTCGACGAAAATGAACAGAAACATCAATTTTTCTATGAAAATAAATAAAAGTTGCAAATCTTTCCATGAAAATAAGCAAAATATCAAAAAAATCCTCCCCGCAATATTTTTGTTTTGTTTATGTTTCTATGTCGCGTATGTCATCCTGCTGTATGGAATTTTTTAATAAAAACATCTGTAACATAAACGTTTACTTCAGCTTATTTGCCGCACAAGAGCTGATTTTGTGAAAACCTTTGAAGAAAAGCCAATGAGCTATGCAAGAAAACCACTTTCATTAATTTCCTCAAAACTTTTCTTTCGTAAATTTTGAATACACGTCTAATTTTTGTTATTGGCCTTAGTAATAATGCAAACTTTTTTTACTACAATTGAAAATTCACTCATACTTCTTAATTACTAAAATCTTTACCATAAAAAATATGGGTATTTTTTATTAATGCATAAAACTGACAAAATCGAAAAATTTTGTAAAAACGGAGGTTTGTTGACTGTCATAAATTCAAAACAACATAAAGCTATTAAAACCTTATTTTATTTTCAAGAAATTGGGCTATTGATTGCTATCACTGCTCTCTCGATTTGCAGAGCATTCCCCATTATTAACAATTGGCTCCTCTTTATGTTCATCCTTTCTACCATTTTGTAGCACTTTGGCCTTTGCTCCTTTTCTAGGTGGTACGGTTTGTAAAATTGCATCTGTCCAAGAATTGCCTTCAGCCACCCGAATTAAAATCTCAAAAACTTTGAAGAGAGGGAAATTTCAAAATATTCCTCATTTGTTGAAATTGTCAAACTCACCATGGAATGTACTTAGTACTGCTCTAGTTTTCATATCAACATATTCGCCTAAAGGCAAACGAGCAGTACGTAAGCCCGCCTTAGTAGCACGAGCATGACAAAAATTTTTGTGATGATTATGGTCGACTAAGCCACCAATAACATAAACATCTTTTACATCCAATCTTTGCAAAATCGTATCAGATTCACTGGTTAAATAAACTAATTGCTCCTTAGGAAATGCTTCTAAGTGGCTTTCATCGAAATGATATTTCAAATGCCAGTTTACCCAGCCGTGATTTTTCTTAAAGGCCGAATGTATGTTTCCATCAGTTTTTATACCCGTAAAATGCAATTGCGCCGGTTTCTCTGATCTTCGATTAATCGTATAAATTCGTAAACATTGCTTTACACATTTTTTTATATCATGCTCCAACATTACATCATCATAATCCAAATCGATGGCTATGCGAACATTTTCGGAGGAGGATTCAGATGTTATTTCACGTCTTTTCAGCTCTTTACGTGAAGGTCCGACATGTAGAGGCAAACCTAATGCTAATAATTCTTTACGCCGTTGTTTTTGTCGATCTTTCTCTCGTAAACGCCTTTCTTTTCGAGTTTCCATATATTTAGCTAATTTCCTCTGCTTCTTTAATTGATTTTTACTGCAAGGCGTTGGTTCGGTAAAACCGCGATTTCTCCGTACATCACGCTCCATTATGAGAATAAAGTTATTTTTCTTAACATTATAAGTTTATGTTAAATATGATTTTTATATCACCGTTGTTGATGCCTTTGGATTATTTTGTTATATTTTGATAATTGCGATGGAATTGCTGATGATATGTATTTATCGTCGATGACAAGATTCGATTACTTATCGCAAAATATTGATAAAATGAGATAAATATTGAATCATATACCCGTCACAGACAATATTCCTTCCAATCACGAAATAATCACTAAATTAAAACTTGGCTAACATCATTGGCCGAATATTATGTATAATATGCGTAAAAAACATATATTGATCGCAGTTATTTTTGAAATCATGTTAGCACTTGAATGGCAAAAAATTGAGGTCAACGGTATTTCAATTACATTGGATATATTCATTTAGGCTTTAAGGCTTTCTTCAAAATAAAAACTGACTCATGTGATTTAAGGCTAAACGAGAATAAAATGGCAATGAAAGTAATTCATTTTTTTTTTAAACTAAAACTATGATTCGAACTTTTGTTAGCCACAATTTCAATACTTGTCTTCTAGACTCAATAAAACCTTTAAAAATTTTAAATTATACTCGTCTTAGAATGTTAGCCCACTTTATAAAAAATAAGGATTTTAATTAATTATGGCACCACGAAAAGTAAAGTTTTTCAGATTGAAAAATCATATTAAAAATCTTACAACAACAAAAAGCACGAAATGAAGTTACTTTGACATTTTAAAGCATTCTCGATATTTGCTTAAAAAATTGAAAACAATGGAAAAGTACTTAAAGTATACAGTTGTATAGTTTAATGACCGCTATCAAATCTAAAAATAGTAGCCCAGCAAATAGCCTAAATAAAATTTAAACAGGGAACATATGTAATAGAACGCAGAAGACAATATTTTTTTTTTCATTTTACTTAGGCCTACATTAACGCGCTTAAGAGCGGAGTATACAAAAGTTTTATATACAATTTATACAAACTTGATCTCACTAATATCTTCAGTAAACAGAATCAGAAATCAATGCTGATAAGAAATACTTTAGAAGGGAGATTTCGCTTCTTCTGGAGGCGGTAAACAGAATCAGAATACAATGTTGGTGAACAGCATCACTGATCAGATATTTCGTTCTTACTTTAGGGAGTTGAAAATGGGGATCTTTTTCAGAAATGAGACCACAAAACCATTGTTTTTGCAAGAAATTTATTCGAACAAAATATGTTGCAAATACAGATTATCTATCATCATCACTTCAAAACTTACAATGTATATTAAGTGCAATTTTTTCCTTAATCATAGATATGAAGGAATATAATGACAATTCAGGAAAACATATTAAGTCTAAAATACTATTACACTAAAATAGGCAAAAAAAACATTAAACGCAGAACTACTCAAAAAGCCCATGGAAAGTATAATATTGTTTACTCAATACAATCTGCTATCACACACATGCAAGCATACATGTTTCATTGACATGTGAAGCCCGAAAATAATGCTATTAATGTCACGCCAGAAGAACGCGCGTAAATTCACCAATTGGAAAGCTGGAACAAATTGAAAATTAAAACAAATTTTCGCAGGTTTTATTATTAGCGCTGAGATTATCCTTGCTTGATTATTCTTGTGTATTTGTTTTTTCAGTGAATTCAGTTCTGCCACACTACTTTTATTGAATCTTTTTTTTTGCTATCTCTCAATATTATTGCCATCATTTTAAGCAATTAAATTTAAACATCGTCTTCTTCCTCCGCACTCCGAATGGAGGCGTCGTCTGAATAAGATCACTGAAACGTAATAATAATCCGCAATCATTTAAAAATTTTTAACTGCGACCAATTTTCTGTTGGAAAAAAGTTATTTTATTTGTTCTACAGTGAGTCATGAGTGCGTCTTATAAGAAGACAGGGTGCACGCGAATTACTTTCTCTACGATTAGTTAAATTACAAAAAGTTATGTAGAAGTTACATAAAAAAAATGTAAAAAGCCAATTCCAAATGTTGCCAAGATTCCATTTCATAACAAATCTAAACACTTAATTGGGACAATTAAACGTCTAGTTTTTTATTTTATTAATTAATAATAATAATTTTTAATAACAATTCAATTATACAATAATAATTATCACCGATATTAAGAATTAATGTGTCAGTAAGTCAATAAAGTCTTTTTAGGCACAGTCACGAGCAACAGTAAAGATAAAGATAGGTAACCTAACTAGATAGTACAATGCAACAAATATACCCAAAATCCAGGCGCGATTTATAGATTAAAAAAGACTTTTCTATCTATTTTAAGTCTGCTCGGGTTAACAATCACTTTGATATGGGTAACGAGGTAGTTAGTTCCATAACGTGATAGCCTTAAAAAAGGATACCCTTAATAATGTTGAGTATTTATGGCCAGATAGGGTTGAATTCGTCGTCCGTTCAGACTTCGCGAACTGAATTTTCTGGTGTATACATCTTGATGAAGTCCGCCCCTTTTAAATGAAAAACTTTACAAATAAATTATGCAGCTGGGAATGAGTTGATACACTTTTAAACCTTTTATCTTCAAAATAATGGTCTGCACCAACTATTATTATATATTTCGGTGAAATGTTCGGACTCTTCCAAGTCGTATGTATTTATCGCACTTAAAATTGAGAAAATCACACATCAAATTAGTTTAAATATTTAAATATTTAAATATTGTTTTTCATTAACGTTTTTGTACTCTTCCGTTTCGTAATCGCGAGTAAATAAACTAAGCTTTGGTAACCCTGTCTGTTGGTATTTAATTGCGTTTTCATTGCCATTAGTCGAATTTGCTGAGAATAAAATTTATTTTCCTGCACATTTCTTATGCATGCGTTTTTTGGCTTTGCTAAGAATAAAATCTTTTTCTTGCTTTAAAATATTTTCATGTTTTAAAAATTTGCGGTTTAAATTAATAATAAAAAATTACCTAAATCACCAATTCCTTTTAGAATTAAATGGAATCAACTCTCTCTATTTTTTTCTTTTTACGTTTTGTTTAAAGTATAAGCTGTTGATAATAAGCACAATGAAGGGGGAAAACTTTCTTAAGTATTTAAAAGATTTCCACAGTAGCATAATCAACATCATTAACAGAAATGAGGGCTGGCGGTTGAGCTTCTTTTGTTTTCCACTCATCTTCGGACCATTTTTCAACTACCCTTAGCCTTTTTTATGTTTTTCAGTTTCTTTATTAATTCGTCCATTTCCGTTTTTCAAAATTACAGTTTCATATTCGTTACTTTCAATTACATCTTCATTACTTACAACGAAATGACGAAAATTTATTTGGGTTATCTAGACTAATATAGCATAGTCTAAGTTTTCCTTAATCATTTTGGCGTTGTTGGGCTATTGTCGCTCTTGTTATCCATCATTCCGTCCCTTTTGCACACATCCATTCGTTTTACTTCTTTTTTTGATGTTTTTCAGACGTGCCTAGATAAAGTGTTGAAGTCGCATCTGTGCCCAATACACGATTATAACCGGCTTTTTAATGTATTCTTGTTAAAAATGTTTATCGTATATTATAATAACTACAATAATTTTTCCTAAATTTTGAAAAATTTAATAATTGTTTAATCAATCTTCCAATTTATTTGCAGGGAAAGCCATCTTTTTCCAATAAATTATCCTTATGCTTGCATTTCCATACTATGTATTCTTTCGTACCCACCATCGTCCAATATTGTAGTAAGTTAGTGTAATAAAATAATAAAAATGATACTGGCATAACAAATAAATAGATAAAGTAAAATAAATTAAAAAGATATAGAAGAAAATATAACAAATTTGATAATTTTGTTCACTTGCTCTCTTAAATTTTGTGTAACCGGAACAAAAATGTTTATAAAAATTTCAAAAGAGAAGAGAATAAAAGAAGAATATTTAGTCTTTTCCGAAATATGAAAAAAATAATAAAAATTATAAAAAAAATCTTTGGTTTTAAAATGCTCTGAATCGTGCGCTTATTGAAAAATGGGACTTTATTTGTGTGATCGTATGTTTAAGAATTAGGTGTTTAAGATGTTATAATTATAGGTGTGTTTTACATGAAATGAGCGAATGAGCGAAATAAGAAGAATATGAGTTAAAATGAACGAATGAGAAAAACGAAGAACCAAAAAGAGTGGTGTACATCCATTTAAATTGATTTCATTATTATTATTATTAATTACCAGCAGTGCGACGAAAAACACAATATAATATCAATGTTTTCATATAAAAAGCAAAAGAAGAGAGAGAGAGAGGGACGCATTAACATGAAATTTCTGTATCAGTTGCGTCGGCCAGCTCAGTCAGTTTTTTTCTCTTTCAGAAAATCGTAATTCAATCAGTATCAATTCAGTCTCAGAGCATCGATGGAGAGTTAACAAGCTAAAAGCTAATTTTATAAAAGCAATAAATATTTAAAGTAGTTAAAAGAAATCGTAGTCAAATCGAATTGTTTGATCAAAGAGGAGGTGTTTACCGGCTTATAATTCTGCTTTTTTTTTCTATTTTATGTATGTTTAATTAATTACTTACGGTTTTAATTATATACAAAGTTTTTCTTTAAAAAAGAGAAAATGTCTTTACCCAGTGAATTGAAGCAATTGTTCAGGTAAATTAGTTGATTTCAAAACTCAAACAAAAAAAAAGCAAAGAATATTTAATTAATTTAATAGAAAAGAAAATTAAATTTAGTTTAAAGTAGTGATTATTTTCCCTTTAAGATACAAAAAGGTTGGGTTGGGTTTGCTTTGTGCGTTTTTAAAGTAATAACACCATTAGATAGCGGATTGAAAAAGAATCAAAAGAACTTATCTCTTAAGATTTAAGCAATTTAAAATTGCGGGCGGAGCATCAAATATCGTCGCTCTTTTGTGAGTAAACTAATATATCCGATACTTTCAGATGTGTAAAAATAAAGCAAAATTGGTTAACTAAACCGAACTGAATTTTTTCCATCTCATAAATTAATTGTGAATGAGTTCTCATCTGTTATCCATGCAAACACAGCACAAATATTTCTCAAAGCATTTTATTAAAAAATATTCCTATTTTGAATTATTAACAGCATTAAATACCTCAATATTTAAAAATATAATTTTTGTAAATGGTTCGCACATTTCGTGTAAAAGCAAAATAAGTTTGCCTTTGGTATTCACTTCCTCAAATCAAGCACATATTAAAATAATATTTTTTTTTAGCACGGCTATGTCGTTGAGCTAATAAAATTGAAGTTTGGTGAACGCCTGCTCCCCTAATGAAAAATTGTTGTAAATTATTTGTCCTGTTATCTATGTTTCTTATCAGTTATATCCGCTAGGCCATACACAGTATGCCCAATTTAAAATATGAATTTTGCGGTTACTAACCACTTGAAAATTACTCATTAAAATTACACAAATTAATAACAGATAGCTTATTAACCATAAACGAAAGCAATCTCTTTCCCACATTTATGCAATGAAAACTGTATGAACCCCCCCATAAATGGTTGTTATTATCTTTTACCGTTATCATGAAAAAACAATCAATTTAGTATTTCATTTATTCTTAATCATATTTCATTTGTTTTTATAATTTATACCTCATTTGAACATTTCCAGTTATATTGATGCCAACAAGAGTCAATATATTGATGCTTTAAAAACTGCAGTCGCAATACCATCAGTATCGACCTGGCCAGATAAACGCAATGAAGTACAACGTATGGTTGAATGGTGCGCAGATAAATTAAGGGCTTTAGGTACCGAAATCGAATTCGCTGATTTGGGTGAACAAAAATTGCTCGATGGCAAAACCATACCATTACCAAAAGTCATCTTAGGTAAACTAGGAAAGGTATTATTAGAGCAATGAAAATTCTTACTTAATGCTTGCCAAGAGTTAAGAAATACATCTTTGATATTAATTAGGATCCAAAAAAGAAAACTGTTTTGGTTTATGGCCACTTGGATGTACAGCCTGCCTTTAAAGAAGATGGCTGGAATACTGAGCCATTCATTTTAACTGAAATTGAGGGAAAATTATACGGCCGCGGTGCTAGCGATGATAAAGGACCTGTCTTATGCTGGATACATGCAGTGGAAGCCTTTCAAAAGTTAAATATAGAAATACCTGTTAATTTGAGATTCGTGTTTGAGGGCATGGAAGAGAGCGGCAGCGAAGGTTTGGATGGTTTACTAATGAAACGAAAAAATGACTTTTTGTCTGACACTGATTATGTATGCATATCGGACAACTATTGGTTGGGCAAGAAACGTCCATGTCTAACATATGGTTTACGCGGCTTAGTCTATTATTCTGTAGAAGTAGCATGTGCCGTCAAAGATTTACATAGTGGGGTATTCGGTGGTACTGTCCATGAAGCCATGCCAGACTTGTGTTGGCTATTAAGCACTTTGGTCGATAAGAATACGAACATCTTAATACCGGGCATTGAAAGAGATGTAAGTTTCTAGTGTAAACGTCCTTACTACTATGAAAGTAACGACTGAGTTAAAGGATCAAATTGCTTTAACGAATTTTAACTTTTGCAGATCGCCCCTTTGTTACACAATGAAAATGACATGTATAAAAAAATTGATTACGAAGTTGAAGATTACAAGTGAGTTAGTGTAAAAAATTGAAAAATTATTTAATAGTTTTATGCTTTTGCCTTCCGTAATACATACAGGAAGGATTTAGGTGTCGAAAAGTTACCGCACAATGAAGACAAAACCAAATTGTTAATGCACAAGTGGCGTTATCCCAGTTTATCTATTCACGGCATAGAAGGAGCCTTCTACGAGCCGGGTGCAAAAACAGTAATACCTGCCAAAGTTATCGGAAAGTTTTCTATGCGCTTAGTGCCAAACCAGGACCCCGACCATGTAACTGAATGTGTTATAAAATACTTGAACAAAAAATGGGCTGAGCGCGGTTCGCCCAATAAAATGACGGTAAATATTGCTGGTTTCCAGATATTGGAAATAGAACCAATTTTTTCTATCCACCATTGTAAGATTTGGGTATACCCATCTTGTTTTTTGCAATAATGTATGTAACACCCAAAAGGAAGCTTCAAAGAATCTATAAAGCATATATATTCTTGATCAGCGTGAAATTGTGAGTTGATTTAGCCATGTGTGTCCGTCTATGTGCTATGTATTGCTGGCACTCTCCTAGACGCAAAAATGAAGAAATCGACTTCAAGTTTGGTAGAAACATTGGAAATTTTTTCACGCAGATTGATATTGAAAATGGTCCAACTTTGTTCAGAAGAGAACAACGCAGTGGAGTGTAAACTGAACGCAAGTCCACTTTTCTTAACGAAAATTTATGAGTTTTTGCTCGTTACTTAGAAAAGTGAAATTTTTCACATCTATATTATGGAGCACTCTACTCTCTACGTGTGAAAAGGGGAGAAATCGGCCAAGCACCCACATAAGTATACAAATAATAAAATTTTATTTTTTTTCACTTTTTTGAAGTTTTGTGCTTATTTATCATAACGCAAACAAGATAGAATATATAGATATTTTGTACACGCTTTAAATGAAGATATATTATCTGCCTAAAAATATGTTAATTTGAAATGAATATGATAAACACCACGATACAGCTATCAAATGAAAGAACTTGAAGAGTAGGATGCAAAAAACGAAGTGGTGGTGGGTATGCGAGATTCGACCCCCGCGGAATATAACTTTCTTGTTTGTTTATTTTTCAAATACTTAGGTGAATTTAGTTAGTGCTGGAAAACCTTGGACTGAGAATCCAAATCATCCGCATTATGAAGCCGCTAAAAAGGCTATAAAGCACGTTTTTAAAGTGGAACCGGATATGACTCGGGAAGGTGGTTCTATACCCGTCACATTGACTTTACAAGAAGCTACCGGCAAAAATGTTATACTAATACCTGTTGGAGCGTGTGATGACGGCGCCCATTCACAAAATGAAAAAATCGATATCTACAATTATATAGAAGGCGTAGGTTTTTTCTTATTCTCAATATTATTAACAATTAATTGATTTCATTTCATTTTTTTTATCGGTTTCCAGACAAAATTATTAGGGGCTTATCTCCATGAAGTGGGCCAACTAGATTGAAATTTTGCTTACGCATCCTTCGTGACATCACTTTAGTAGCTAAACCGAGTATTTTCCGTATTTTTATACATTGTTCAAAAATTATTTTTTTAATAAAAATCTTAACTTTTTGCAATTAAATTTAGATAAGCTTTATGTGCCGCGCACAGTATCCTTATCTTTCAATAAGTTTAATTCATTCCAAAGGATCACCGTATTTATTAGTGCGGACCCTTTTAACGGGGTCTTCAGGAGGCGTGGCCTTAGGTTCACGTATGACTAGAGGTGCATTGGACGGCAAAGGGGATGAAAGAGGATTTTGTTGTTTTTTTTCGTACTCCTCACGATTACGTTGACGTAGTTCTTCATAAGTCATACCTGGTTTGACGGGTTCTAGCGGTATATCTGTATCATTTTGAGCTGTACCTATATATTCAACATTTTTGCTAGTGCTTGGTTCTACGCTTGCTTGTCATTCTACTTACTGTCTAGGGTAGGTCGGTAAGTGTCATCCAGACCGGCATATGTGGGACGGTTTTCCATATCCAAATTCAGAGCATTCCCTTTACCAACGGGTTGCAGGTGTTCGTCTGAATAGATATCCCCTGCGTTTGAGGCGAAAGGACTTAAAGTCATGCCTACACCTAGTTGCGAGTCCGTTTTCAGACTAGAAAATCCACTTTGATTTTGTCGTTGTCGCAGTAGCTCGCCTAACCGGGAATTCGGTAACAGCATAATTTTCTCTGCGCATCTTTGTTGATAACTAAATTTTCCCACAAAATATCCCAGCAGTACACCTACCATAACCTTAGGAACTGCTCCATACCGTATGTTAGGCTAGAATTAAAAAAAAAAAAAAAAAGTTGAATGAATTAAATAAATGTCTTTTATTTTACCGTTAGATAACCTTGTTTGACCCCAAAATATGCAGCCAAACCCAAAGCTGTGCCCAATGGAAGAGACCTTTGATAAAAAGATTCAAGATTACATTCTCTTAATACTCGCAATTCATCGCTGGAAAATTGATAGTTTGCCTGTTAAAGATATAATATGTGCACATTGATATGTGAAGACGTTTTATAACCTTATCACCTACCAAAGGATGTTGTGGCCTTGAATTGGGATCACCGGTATGGTCCATTTCTGTAAAATTTTTAATTTAATGCAAAATATATTATTGACGTAAGTAGAAAATACGAATATGACACACGCTTTATTATTAGAGCTGCCAACAACTTCGCTTAGTATATTATCTGATATTTTTGGTACTTCTTCTACCACCACTTCGTCACTTTTGCCGAGAAATTTTGAAAATTGAAAACATTTTCCATATAACGATCTTTCGGAATAGGGCGTTATATGGGTAGTGGTCGAAAAAGTGGACGGATTCGAACCGCTCGTTCTGTAGCTTGAACAAACATAGGCAGGCACCAGACGGACTGAATCAATCGGTATAATAAAAGGAGTGTCCATCTTAAACGCTTCTGCGTGTTACACACGACCGCACTAAATTGACATAAGTGGTGTAGGGTTTAAAAATGTATGTTTATGTAAGATAACATGAATTATTCAAAAAAAAAAAACGATAATCTTTTCTGCTTCTGGTTTTTTTTTTCTTGTTTGTTTTATTTGTATGCACACACATAAAGCATGTAATTTCCGATAAAGTTTTGGAAAAAAATAAAGCATCAGCTGAAAAATAGTCAGTCGCCTCATTCTTAATTGTGTCAGCACCTTCAAGCCTTCAGTCATAATAACTGAAATAATTAAAATATTAAATACGATATCATGTGCAAGTGTGTCATGTCTTTTTTTTAAATTTGCAATGGCGCGTCTTTCACTTCATCTCTATCATTTAATTTTTTTTTTTTTTTTTTTTTGGTTGAGTAGAGATGGATTAAGCCAATAGATTTGTATTCAATCACTAATAGTCATAGCAGCTTAGTTTTGAGGACTTATTTTTTATTTAATATATTCTTATATTTTCGGCTACAAATTTACGGAAAAGTGTCAACACAGTGAGAGTAAAATTATTTGGTGATTTTTTTTAAATTTTTATTTAATTTCATTCATTTTATTTATACTTCCGAAAGCAAACAATATATTTGTGTATGGCAAACGAACATCGTGGACGGGCATCTAATGTGGTTAGAAGATCTAACTTTGGTAAATCACAATACTCTTGTCATTCTGACGCCGAGCGAGGCAGTCAGAACAATTTCACTCAAAATAGATCCTGCCCATTTAAACCTTGTGAGGACCCAAAGTGGTCCCTCGTTTTTGGCCTCACGGATTCTCCGTCTCTGGTGAGGGGAAGGGAGTGCTAGGTTAAGATAGCATAAGAATAGGAAAAGAAGAAGAGGCTCCAAATACGAACTTATCGCCAACGGAATTGAAATATATTTCTATTGTTTATTTACTATTTTCCTTCTTCTTCTTCTTCTTTGCATTATTTTGTTATACATACAACGATGATATGACAAATATTCTGATGTAATTGCAACAAACGAGAAGCTTTAGTCGACTCTCGGATGCTTCCAAATTCGGAGTGGCAGTTGGAATCAAACAGGTGGTTTTCAGGCTCGCTCATTTAATTACACTCAAATGTTTCCAATTTCAGGTGGATTGCAGAGTAATTGTTTGTGTATGTGTAATTGTGCTGGTTGAGTTGTTGAAATTTTTAGGAATCTAAAACTTTCCAAATTTTCAATTGATCAAAATACTGCACACGAACAGTGCGGAGAGCAAATACACATTTTGCATTTAAATTCACTCACTCAGAAACTTTGACATGGATTGTTTCCTGTTTTCTTTTTCTTCTTCTTAAAATCAGCAATTCAACGAACAGATCATTTACGGTATTGTTTTGTTTCAGTACTTAAAAGGGAAATTTTTTTTCAATTCTATTTCATATTTTTCTCTTTTCTCAATAATTAATAATCAATTTAAAACAAATAGTAATAGCGAAAGGAACTCTAGTATAACTTTTTGTTTAGCTAATTTGCTTTAATTTGCTAACTAAAGTAATCAATTGAAAAATAAAAGAAGTTTTTTTTGAGTCCATCTGAGTTTGAACGAATGGCCTTGCTGATAAAACAGTAAAAGTAAATCAACCACTCTTTGATGTAAGCCCATGTTACCATTTACCTAAACCTAAACCCTAAAAAGTCGCTGTCGTTGGTAATCAATACTCGTATTTTCTCGTCTGCACCGCTCGCATCATCATTTTGTTTATTATTTTACCCTTGTCACGGTTCTACCTTTAGAGGATAATAAAGGCTGATCTATATTTTTGAAATTTATAAGGGAATGCGATAACTATTTTATTAATCATGAGGAAATTATTTTGAAAAGCAAACAGACAACAGTCAATGTATTTGCTGTGACAATGTTATTTTATCCCGACCAGACGCACAGATCCAGACCGATTCAGTATTTTTAACTATATGCTTACACGAAAATGTTTTAGGAAATTTTCGATCAGATTTTGGATATTGCCGGCAGAATGAAAAACTTTGTGATCTTACAAGCTACGATTACTCTGGATAATTATCAATATTTATGTTGTCAACTTTAAATATGTCCACATTAATGTGCAAATTGAATATTAATAAATGACCGACCCAAGTTAAAAAGTCCGAACTCGTTTTACATTGAATTTTGAATACTCGCAGCCTGAATAGCCTTAAGTCCTATAGCATACGATAGATAATTAATTTGTTGCAGCATTTAGCCCATTACGTCGACATGATTTGTGCACGATACACTATCTATCTCGTTGAATAACGGATGATACATGGGAAAAAATCAGTGAAGGTGGGTTTATAATGAAGAGTTACTCACGACACAGTTTGGGGTATAAGAAATGCTGTCGAGCAAAGACGCTTAGATGAACTTTACCAATTTGACGTATATATTGTTATGTACCGTCTTCTTTTCGCTTGAACAGCTTTTCAGCTGTTGAGAAGAATTATTAACTTTTACTTAACTAATTACAAGAGAAATAATCGGTGTACAAACATAATAAATGCACAACAAAATATAACAAATTTATTAGTATGATTGTAACATCATTAATTAATGGGAAATAACCCTTTAAAATAGATGCATATAATCATTATATTTTATTACTTGACGCTATTAAGCAAAGGTGCCGAAGGAAGAGGTGGAATTGACGGTCAAGTAGGAAAAATTTGCAGACTTAGCAAATTCAAAAGCAGCAGTCGAGGGAGTTCAAGGTGCACTGAAATTTCGCTCCGGTCAAAACTTTCGATAGTAAGGTATTTCCCTATTTTTCGTTCCCAAAAGCAAAATACAATAACCTCGTGTCTACAGCGGTTTTTCTCTCAAATTTACGGAAAATGCGTCGATTTGGAATCATTCTACAGGTTTCTTGTTCAATTTTTTGGTGTAGGATGCTTGTTCTTGTTCAATTACTTGGTGTAGGATGCTTGTTCTTGTTCAATTACTTGGTGTACGATGCTTGTTCTTATTCATTTACTTGGTGTAGGATGCTTGTTCTTATTCATTTACTTCGTGTGGAATGCGTGTTCTTGTTCAATTACTTGATGTAGGATGCTTGTTCTTGCTTATTTACATGGTGTAGAATGCTTGTTCTTGTTACACAAGTATTTTACCGGTAAAAAGATTTGTTTACATTTACAATGTATTTGTGTATTTACATCATGCATTTCACCTTTAATAATAAATTGATTAGTTTCAAAGAAAACCCACTCTTGGCAAATTCCTTGGCATGGAGAGGGAGGTAGACGACTAATTATACTCGAGGAAGTCGTTAATTGCGTATTCAAGTGCTAGAAAAAAATATCCTTGACAAAACACGGCAAAAGAGTCAATTACGAGGTCCTGGGTCAATCATTGCTATCCATAAATTTGAAATGAAATAAAAGTCACCTTTAGTTAAGAAGTTTTTATTTTAATCAAATCTTGGACTTCTTAAAAAAGTATACTTTTAATTTATTTTATAATTATTTTAATACATTGCGTTGAAAGAGACAGGCACTTCGGTTTTCAAATCAAAAACGGCTTTTTTTGTAGCCTAATAATATAATTAATTAGTCTCGGTTTGTAATAAATTTCTATTGTGTGTCTAACAGAGTTCATTGGGTGACTTTAAATTATTAGAAATATATGCAGATTCTTGTCTTTTAAATCTCGAATGATCTCGCGACGTTTGGTTAGTTTCTTTGCTAAGCTTCTTGGATAACGATAAAAAATGTTTTCGAGCCGTTTTTGAAGTATACAGTCCTTTTCACTGATTGCTCGTTGTTTGTTCTTTTTTGATTTAATGACAACAAGCGATTTTTATGAATCATCATTGGAACATGTGAAGTCGAATGCCCGATGTTTAAAAGATTGCCAAGTATTTTGAAAATTTAAAATGGCTTGTTTGGATTCATCATCATGGTGTATCATCGATCTGTACACATGCAAACTGCTTTGAATTATCTTAAGTAAGAACCCATTCACTTTTCTCTTCTTCCACTTTTATATCCGGCTTTTTCTCGTCTGTGGACAATTTGCCGCTCCATCTAGGGTGATATTCGTCTTCTTTCCTACTTGTTAAAGGTGTGTTAAAAGTTTTTTTTCAGACAGCATGCTTTGCTTTTTGGCAATAACTTTATTTTTTATACAAAGCAAATTATTCTCAATATCAAATTCGTTTAGCAGGCCTTCCACAGGTTTTTTCCCTTTCTCAGATATGAGCACTTTCTTGCCATTAGCCGTTTGAAAACCTGTAGTTTTGTCGACTTATGCAATGCTCTGCAATTTTTCTTAATTTAAATTCCCTGGCGATCTTTATTATCTTCCAGTCTAGTTTCATAGTCTTTTTCTTTTTCCAAGCCAACATTATCTTGATGCATTTTAAAGGTAACTTTATTTCCTATTTCTTCTATTCCATTTTCAATAAAAACTCCATTTACTTGCATGCTTCTCAGCCGTGAAGACCGCTAACGCCCATAAATAAATTACGAGGACTTTTTAGCGCCTATCGCGAACGTTTGCCAACTTCTCCTTTATCAACTCCCCTGACAGAGAAGTCAACTTACGTCATAGATAATATGAATTGTGCCAGAGAAAAGAGCAGCAACGACGAGTCTGGCACTACTAACCTCTCCCGAAAAACAGCGGATTGCCAGAGCTTTAATTCGAAATCCTCGTGTACTGTTGCTGGACGAAGCCACATCCGCATTAGATGCTGAAAGTGAAAGCCTAGTGCAAGCTGAAATCACTGATGCTGAGTAATGTTTTGAAAAAATTTTTGAAAATAGATCAAAATCTTATTATAATACACATAATTTTTCCTTTCGCTTAGCAAACGCATTCAACTATCGCATTCTTTAGTATTATTATAAAATTAAATATACAATAACATGTTCTTGTAATTGTCTGGTGTTAATTAATGTTTGGAAGAACACTACATTAAATTGATTTTTGTTTTCGTTTCGCAGCGATTAAAATCATTGTATAAGAATGCTTACACGTTTCTTTGCCTTTTTCGCACATCGATTGAAAGCCTGCTTTGATTGCTATTTGCGTACTGCTGTTTCCAGTTTGCCCAACTTGGACTCCATACTTTTAATCGATATCTGAGCTTTTATGTCTTTTAGTTCAGTTACATAATTCGTTTCATGCAAATTGTCTTGAAATTCTCATAGAATATTTTGTACGGATATTTGGCTTTCTTCCGATATAGAGATTTTTTTACCATTCGCTGTTTGAAAGCTCACAGAAATAAGCGAACTTCCCGGATTATTGACCTTGCCCACTTCATCTCGATTCACTTTACTTTTCACTTCTTCCCATTCGTTTTCAATAAAATTCACGCCAACTGGATTTTTACCTACTCCCAACTCCGGCCATTCTCCGCTAGCTCTTTGAAGTCCTAATGCAACATTAGTTTCTCTCAGCACCAAGTTCTTAGAGTATTCACTAATATTGTATCTTTGTTATTTTTAAAGCCAATCAAACAAATAAGCATAAAAAAAATATGACCAATATCTGGGTAGGCGTTAAACCGAGTACACCTTTAACACGTTTCACCTGCTTCATGTAGGTGACGACAGGCGAAAAGATTAACAGTAATCCGGAGAACATTTCATAGCGAAAAAGACTGAAGAAGTTTCAATTGTCAAGTTGGTTCAGCGGTTACAGGCCAAAAGACGATTACTTCGTAATCGACAAACTGAACTGCGAACTCGAAGAGAGAAACGAGGAGCAGTTCTCATAGCTGTGTTAAATTCAAGAGATAATTTAACGCCATTCTCAAAAAAACTCAAGCCGGCATTCCCAACTTAAGAAACGGACGAAGCATTTCAAAGCGCCTGCGAGATTTTTTACGCCGCCAAGCATCAATATTTGGTGGGGCCGAACATCGCCAAGCACCTACAGGCGACCACCATGTCGCGGGTTGCTTTCTTCCGAACAGCAAGCTCGTGCAGCAGGGGTGTGAGGCACCGAACAAATTTGCTCAGATTCATATTATTTATACTGTTGTCTAGGAAAAACTTTAAGGAGGAAAAGGATACGAATGTTACATCCTTCTAAGCAGTACACTCTCCCCCCTCCTCGCAATATTCAGTGTATTCCAACGGTGAGTTTGAATTTATCTTTACTGATTGTCATTTATAAGAGGTCCATGCAGCATTTAAGGAAACATACGAAGTTTTCTACGCGGGCATGAGGCGCCGTATGGTCGACCAGAATATAGGCAAGCGGGTGCAGGCGTCTGCAGTCGCACAGCTTGGCTTCTTTAGAAAATAAGGTTCCTGCAACAACGGCAGTAGCCATAGACCCAATTTACTTGGCTGTATACTCGTCAAGCTTTCAACAGGAAAAAATTTCATAGAGCGCAAGCACATCAACATAGATCGGCACATTCTTTTGCAACGGGTCCAGTTATACTGGAATCTTTCATTTCGCCTTTATTGTTTACTAGACTCCCCGCGTTATCCTCAAAAGGCCGTCCCTCCTTCGGAATGGCTTTCTCTGCCGTATGGCTACAGCTGAAAGGAAAGTAAATTACCTTTATACAAATTTTTAAAATAGAAAACAAATGAATCCATGAATGAATTATTAGAATAAGTGTTGCAAAAATACCTCAACAATTCTGCTAAATGAATAAGTGGCGGGAAAAAACCGCGGCAATTCTATTGAATGAGAATAAGTGGTGCAAAAATACCTCAACAATTCTGCTAAATGAATAAGTAGGGGAAGAAAACGTTTTTGCTCAATAAAAATTTGAATAGTTCTTTGGCAATTGCAGCTTTGTTTACTGTTTTTTAAAATCAAAGTAAAAGGGGCAACGTAGCCGCTAATGAAAAAGCAAAGCTTTAAGTTTTGAAAATGTTTAACAAGAGAGGAAACGCCAACTGCACGCGAATTTTTTTAAAATGGGCCGCCTTTTCGCAAAATTCCATACAATTCTGAGATATTTTTAAGTTTATTCACTGCACGTACCTTTTTCCTCAACTCAGGTCTACCCATTTTGGCAATGGCCGCAAATATACCACCGACGCCAGCAGCTGGTAAATGATTCAAGCGATCATGAATTCCGTGCTCAGCAATTACGTATAGCTGCGGCTGTAAACATTTTTTTAAATAAATTGATTTTACACTTTATTAAGCTTTAGTAAATAATACCAATATTGTCAGCGCAGATCATCACAGCGCCTACAATAAACGATATGCGAAATTGCCCTTCCGCGGTTCCACAACGTCCTATATCGCAGTACCGTAAGAAAGCGTAAATGTATAAATGTCATTATGTTCATTACACTAATATTTTTTTTCTCAATCACTAAACATTATAAGAGCATATTCATAAATTAAGGATTCGCTAAGATTAATATTTTACGGAAATTCATCTCTTTTAGACATTTTTCGTGCACTCTTGGTAAGGAAAGGAAATTGAAGGAATTGAAAAATAAGAAAAAGAAGAGTGGTGCAGCCATAATTGCAAATTTTGAAAGGTGTTGCCATAAATCGAAATTTACGTTATATCCCTTCAGAGTAATACAACTAAATATCAATAAATACGATAAATGCATGAATGAAACGAATTTATTCATCTTTGCAGACTTCTTCCAAATTTTGTGACAATTAACGAATCGTATATTATGTCTACATACAAACGAAACAAACAGAAAACAATGTACAAGAAGAAATAAAGGCAATTTATTTTACATTTAGAAATTATTTTCATTCTGATACAACTTGATCGGATTATTTTAAAAATTCATGGAATTGATTACAACTTTTTTCTCATTCTGATATAACTTCATTAAGTCTTTGAATAGATCACATCAACCAACGTGCAGTCGTGGCCGAGCGGTTAAGGCGCTTGACTAGAACTCAGATTCCCTCTGGGAGCGTGGGTTTCGAATCCTAGCGACTAAAACACAAAGTAAAGAAAACTTAAGAATTAGGACATATGCGGGGTCGCGGAGACAATTGCAAACTAATTTGAGGAGGAGAGAGATTCTGCAGGTTAGAGGGAAAAAGAAGTCGTGGTGATTCGATTACCCGCGTATCATGGCTGCATTCAACAGTAAAATTTCCAAAAACGAATTACCTGTCGAGGGCGACATGTGCAAGACTCCATCTCGACGAAGTCGCGCGCGCTATACCAAATCGCAGTTCTAGGCCCTGAGAGCAGCCATCCCAGTGGGTATTAACAATCGGCTCCGTATTCAAGTTGCAGTATAGAAAAGAACACATATCATTTTAAATCTAAGCTCATGATGAATGCTGCTGATTACCCCTTTTTACAATTATTGCTTGCGCGTATAACTTTTAAGAGAAAACAAAATTTTTGAAAAGCTGGTAAACACTGCATCCTGAATGAGAACAATATTTTCGTAACTAAGTTTGTTGTAGAAAAATAATAAAACATTTATTTTTCTTATCAATTTCTAATTTGTCTTGAAAATTGAAAAAAAAGAAGAAAAAAACTCAATTACAATGAATATACTCACACATCCGCCTGAGTAGCCGAAGGCGAGGAATCGCGACTAGTCAATGGTCGTGGGTTCGAATCTCAAGTGCGGTAGAGTTTTTAATAAAAGCCGATAGTCTTAGATGCTAGTGCTTTTAAGAGTTTAGTCTTAGAATTTGTTTCTCTGGCGAAATTAATAATAATAATAATAATACTATCACAAGTCTGAGCAATTGTCTTAAGAGAAAGTAGTTAATGTTAAAATGTTGTAGTTTTACAATTGTATAAATCACTTAACGCTTTCCGTAAATATGTGGTTATTAACAACAAAACCTACAAATATGTAAACTTTAAATAATTTTTGCAGTTTATATTAGATACAATGCAAGCAATTTTGATGCTCAACAAAAATTCCCAATTAAAAGAGAATCGTTACAATTTTGCTATAACAGAGAGAGTGTGCACATATTAAGTAATACTGTTACTGCTTAAAAAAAAAATAAAAAAAATAAATTGTTTGCTCTTAAAAAAAATGCATTTCCTTGAATGAAGAAAGGAAGGAAATATGTAAGTTGGGCAAAAAAAAAAGCATTTCTTATTAAATAAAAGTCGTGTGTGCAATGGGCGCGAAGGTTGTATTCTAATTTCAGGTAGCGATGAATCTCGATCGTTTATGGTGGTTGGTAAAACATTGTCCCTGGACGAAGCGTAAACGTGAATCCATTGATAATAAACGGATAACAAATGAAATTTTATATCAAACATAAAATTTAATCGTGCGAAGTCTGTAAGTCTGTAAGTCAACCCGTTAATTTTACGTTTGCGACAAATACTCCTCCTTTTTCGTATATACGCTCAATGTTGGCAAAAGTTCTGCAATGTAATCAGGTAATTAAACTAAGACAATATGTTGGTATAAGTTTATTCTGTACATATGAATATAATCATGGCTTTCTATCTGCATTTGTGTTTTGCTTATATGAACGGTTACCTATCTATTCGCGCGTAATATTTAAAAAGTACTTATAATTAAAATGAAACAAATTTCCAAAATCCTCCACAATGACAGTATTTCCATCTCTGATACCACGTCTTCAAAGCAGCCGTCTTTGTCATTTTGTTGATGTTATTAATAAAACCGCAACGTGAACAAATCCTTAATGAGCGAACATGAGTGCCTAAATGCAAATTGCTAACGTCATCTTTTATGCTATGAGAGAATAAAACCTCTTCGTAATGAACGTCTTGTAAATTTAAAGATTCCACACTGGTTTGAAATACAAATGGAAATAATTTCGACGTGGCGTTACTATTTAATAAAGTAGTGGGTGTGCTTATGTGTCGTGTTGGTACTAATACTTGTGTTGAAAGCACACTGCACTCGTCCAGCAAGCTATCGTCAGGTTCACTGGTATTTTGCATTAAACGTGTAAGTAAGCGAAACATTACCGGTAGTACATCGAAGTTGTCTACGGATTTCGTATAGATGGGTAGACAATGGGGATTTAATAGACCCCATATACGGATCATTACCAATAGTTCTCTTACACTACTGACGGCGATTACATCACGACATATTTCGTAACCATGCCTTTTATTAAACTTTGGTTTCAATACATCTTCGGTCAGTTTATGCAAAATATTCAGAGCTAAGTCGGATACCCATTGTATCAATTGTTGCAAACTTTGTAAAGTAGCGGGTTCAACTGTAAAATCCTTAGCGTCCAAAACACATAAAACTTTATCGACATCACCTACCGGTTCCGAGAGTATCATAGACAAATTTTCTGCCGGGCCTTTATCTTGAGAACTTAAATCGGATGGTCGCAGTAAACTTTTAAAGGCAATGGCAATCGCATGCAATGTAATAAGATCATCAAAGTCCTGCTGTTTTGTTTGTATACGACAAATATTACTTTTCAACGATAAAAAGTTCGAATAGTAGAAATGCCTGACATAGGCTGTCTGTCGGGAAAAATTTTCGGTTAATTTTTCAGTTAACGCTTCCAAGTGAGAGAGATTCAACATAAGTACATCGGCAGCATCTATCCCGGTAATAACCGAATATTCCAAAAGACAAACAGGCACAGCTAACGGACTCATCTTATAGTTCTTATCATAATGGCTTGTCGGCACTTGCATGGCATACATTTGTCCCAAATTATCAAATAATATCAGCAATTGATTCAAGTGTGTGCAGTCCGATGTAAGTAATTTGTATGGAGCACGCATTTGATCCTCAGCCACCCGTTCAAATACTGTCGAACCAATTTTCTTTAAGCCCGTTTCTAATATTTGCACCGAATTATCGCGTAAAATAGCAAATAACAGCAGAGATTCTGTGGGCAATTTACTTAAACTCAAATCGCATACGCGCGACGTTAAAGACAGCTTGGCTGTAATCTCCCATTGCTCCCACTGCATGAAATCGCTTTTGTTCTTTTGCAGAAGTTTATGAACTTGTTGATGCTTTTTTATAAGATTCCATTGCTCGATAAAGCTTCCTTCTATACAGTCATACACCACAAAAGCTACTTCCTCACAATTAACGGTACGCCAATGGACCACAGATATCTCTTTGTTCTCGTTGTCTGCCCTTTGCAAAAATATACTGGCCATTGCACCGCATTTGAGATTCAAGGTATCGTCCTGTTCACGTTCTACACCAATTTTGAAGCAACTAATTCGAGGTTCACTCCAATTGTTAATGGCGACATTAAAGCGTCCAGTAGGGCAATATGAAATGCTACAATGAGTAATAAAACAGCGTGATAAGCCAATGCTGTTTGTGAAGATATTTAATTCAGACGGTGACGCTGAATTTGTTGTCTCCGCATTCATTGGTAGGCGAGGAATTGTAAAAACGCCCATTAGACCAGAGGCGGTTAAAAGGAAACATCCCTCGACAGGAGAACAACCAAAATAGGCCAACGTAGGCCTTTGATCTAAGCGTTCGTATTTATCTGAATAATTCTGCAAATCCTTTTTTTGCATATTGAAGTAGGTTGCTTTAGAGTTGTGGAAAAATTTCACATTTATTATTTCTTCGCAAGGCAAGTTAACGGTATATAGTAGAAACCAGCTATTCATACAATTGGCTTTCATGCCCCAAATTTCCGCTAAGCCGTGCTTATATCCAATTAATAATAATTCGCCGGTGGGATTCCATTCTAACACACTCGCTACGGCTTTAGAAGAACATATCTTATAATTTTGCCATGGTTTCACAATATCACATATATATATTTGACTGTATAGATTTTGATGCACACAAAATACAACTAGATTTTTTTTTGATATTCTACATAAAACACTATTTTGCAAAAGAACGTTACCTTCTTTGCAGCCACAAACACTTTGCACTTTATATAATATAGTCATTTTTATAATCTACGTGTCTAACAATAAAAAATTATTAACTTTTCTTCTTAACTAAAATTACAACGAGCTTAATACATTTTGCAAAAAGCAATAATTATTTGGCTAGAGTATTGCCAGGTCATATTTATATATAATAAAGTAAAACTTGTAAGAATTGTTGCCGCTTTCAACAATGAAATTTTTTTAGTACATTCAAACCAGCGGTCCTAATTCACCACACGAAACCAAGTTTAAGTGTAGCTATATAAAAAATAGTTTTCCCATTGCAATCAAAAAGTATGTTTTTATGCGATGAATAAGGACCGCATAAGCGGACATGAGAAGACCGCACAAAATCACATTTAAAGTAAATGCAAATAATTTTTGCAAAGATTGAACTATTAACCACATCGTTTTCATAAAAGTACATCTCTGGTATGTCTATCAAAAGCCACGTGAACACAAATTTTGAAAGTTTGCAAAAATTTGCATTCACGCACAACGTAGCGTAAGCTTCATACACTTCAATACACAAGGATAACGTAATCATTGTGTTTAGCGCTTTATTAATTCAATTATAATATGCTTACACTACTTTTAATTTCCAAGTTAAGTGTATAACATGTATGAATATATATCGTAGTTTCTATTACGGAAACAACCCAAAAAACTTTATGTTGGCATCATTGAATGCGCTGTCGTTTTTGAAAGTCCGACTTTCTTTTCCTTAAGTCAAAATTTCTTGTTATTTTATTTCGAACTTTAAAAAAAGAAAGACTGTTGTTGTTTATAAAAAATTGTTTGGGAGAGTAATAAAATTGGAAAAATAGCCAATTGATCTGTCAGGGCCCTGTAAAACAGGGATGTAAGCGGCAGCAGCAACGCGCACTCGATATTTTCAATGACATATCTGCTGTCATCGCGTAAATTTACTTTCTTGGCTCTACAAGATTTTCGTCAAAACTTAATTAGAATACCGAATAATTTAAGTTCCAACGATAAGAATATTGAAATGTTTTGTGCTTATACACATGCTTTGGTAAGTACAATCATTATCAAATAAAAATATGACGATAATTGTGTGTTTCTGTACCTTCTTAGCCTTATTTGCAATTGGGAAATTTTGGTCGAAAACCTCATTACTATACAGGGCAAAGGACGATATTGCACCATTTGCCGCAATCAGGCACAGCGACTGCCAGGGCACAGAATAATGTTAGATTTGTTATGCCAAAACGACGTGATGCTTTGCAAAACTTGGCTCTTAATTTGGGCCGTAATGTCAACAGTTTCAAGAGCGAATATAATGCTTTAGCGTTAAATTTCTTTGAAACTGAACGTTTCTGTCATGTACTGAACAAAGCGCGAAGCCTACTGAAGGCCCATAACGTCAAATTTAAAAATATGGAACTGCCGCCACTCCTTTGTACATCTATCAGGGCAAGAGGAAAACATCCTTCACGTCATTTAATAGAATTCACTTTTGATAGAGCTTTGTCTAAAAGCAATATATCATCAAAAACTTATTCCAAACTTTTTCAAGCCATATTGCCGCAATATAATCTGTAAGTATGCAGCTAAAGAAAAGAAAAAATGAATCGATATTTTAATGTTGAAAATGCTCTTTTCTTGATATCAGGAAGTTTGTGCGTGGATTTAAAACTGACCGTTCCATTGCTGCTGAAATAAAACGGAATCCATCGCTTTCGTCTCGTTTGAGAACTGCGTTCAGTGGAACTGTTCATAAAGTGGAGGATCATTCTCATTCAGAATCTCTTAAGAAGCTAATACAAAAGTCGTCAGAACCGGGAGCTGATAAAGATATGGTATAAATGATATGCGTACAGTTTTACAAAATTATTTATTTATTTATTTGTTAAATTTCAATTAGCGCAGTACACGAAGAATTATCTATTTGATTTTCTCGATTTTTAGGAAAGCACTATAAAAATAGCCTTTGCTGAGGGTTACTTGGCAGCTAATAACGCTGACGATGCTCCAAAATCCGGCAAAACTATGAAGTACTTAAAGGTAAAGTTTGGATAAAATAATTTAAAATTTGAATTAATTTCTTTCTATGTAAGTCAGGTATTTCAACAGCTTTTGGTTATTGTTGTGTTCATCGGAATATTTCTGAGTTTATTTGCTTCCTCTAATGGTTCCGTTTTTCGGTAAATTGAAATCAACAATTGTGCTAAATATTTTTTATCAAAATTATTTTTAAGTATACAATTGGGAAATCAGGTTGAAGTGGATCCGGAAGAGATACATGTGACGTTTGATGATGTTAAGGGTTGCGACGAAGCAAAACAGGAACTAAAAGAAGTGGTGGAATTCCTAAAAAATCCCGAAAAATTCTCAAATTTGGGCGGCAAACTGCCTAAGGGTGTTTTGCTGGTGGGTCCTCCAGGTACAGGAAAAACTCTTCTGGCCCGTGCTGTTGCTGGCGAAGCAAATGTACCATTTTTCCATGCTGCCGGTCCAGAATTCGATGAAGTACTGGTTGGTCAAGGAGCGCGACGGGTGCGTGATTTGTTTAGTGAGTGTCAGTAGAAAATTTATTTACTTATTTTTTCTAAAATGAATCTGATTTAATCACATAAAAAAGAGGCGGCTAAACAACGGGCACCCTGCGTTATATTCATTGATGAAATTGATTCCGTGGGCGCGAAGCGCACGAATTCTGTATTACACCCTTATGCTAATCAAACTATTAATCAATTGCTTTCCGAAATGGATGGCTTCCATCAAAATGCAGGTGTAATTGTATTAGGGGCAACGAATCGTCGTGATGATTTAGATCAAGCCCTTCTTAGGCCGGGACGTTTCGATGTAGAGGTAACTTTTCTATCTTTTGTGGTAGTTGCCAATTTTCATTATAAACCGTAGGTGGTAGTTAATGCTCCAGACTTCTCAGGGCGAAAGGAAATCATTACTTTATATCTTTCCAAAATATTACACGATGAAATTGATTTGGACATATTGGCCCGTGGCACGTCTGGTTTTACAGGTGCTGATTTAGAAAATATGATTAATCAAGCGGCTTTAAGGTAATCTCTCAATTTTTCATCGTCTGTTAGCGTACTTATCGTTGTCGTTTTTAGAGCGGCAATTGACGGAGCTGAAACTGTGACTATGAAACATTTAGAAACTGCCCGCGATAAAGTGTTAATGGGTCCAGAACGCAAAGCGCGTTTACCGGATGAAGAAGCTAATCTCATAACAGCTTACCATGAAGGCGGTCATGCTATAGTGGCTTATTATACTAAAGTAATACAAAGATATATATAAAAATAATATTAAAACTAGTAATTGCATGAATTTTTAGGAATCGCATCCTCTGCACAAAGTCACCATAATGCCTAGGGGACCCTCGTTAGGTCATACTGCTTACATACCCGAAAAAGAACGATATCACGTAACAAAAGCTCAATTACTGGCTATGATGGATACCATGATGGGTGGACGAGCGGCTGAAGAACTTATATTCGGTGCTGATAAGATCACTTCAGGCGCCAGTAGTGATCTTAAACAAGCTACAAGTATAGCCACGCATATGGTTAAAGATTGGGGTATGTCTGAGAAGGTCGGCTTGAGGACTATTGAAAATCCAAAAGGCTTATATCCGAATGAAACTCTCGGCCCGAATACGGTGGAAGTGGTGGATGGCGAAATTAAACGTTTACTTAACGAAAGCTATGAAAGAGCAAAAACGATATTAAAAAAACATGCCAAAGAACATAAAGCTTTGGCTGAAGCTTTGCTAAAGTATGAAACCTTAGACGCTGAAGATATAAAAGCCATTATGAAAGATTCGCAATAGTGATACCATGTTAGACAAGAAGACGATGGTAATTGTCTTAATTTAATGAATTTTTATTACTTATTAAACGGCAACAATTAGTATATCGAAAATTTTATTATTATATTATAAAATTATAAAATAGAAAAAATTTTATAAATAGAAAATATATATATATGTATATATATATATATAAACAAGAAAAAGTATCTATGAAATATTTTTAAAAAACGTTAGTCTGTTCGGTTTATTTGGCTTTAAATACATTTACTCCATAAATTCCATAAAAGAATAGAAAATAATTTAAAGAAAAATATTGACTTATAACGTTAAATTGTTAAGAAAAAAAAATAAAATATTGCAGAAATGATTCGCAGTTTTTGAAATGAATAAAAAAGGAAAAACGGTTTTACTTTTAAACGAATTTCGTTGGCTTTATGACTTCCATCATCTTTCATAACTTCATCTTAAGCGAATTACGTGTATTTTATGCAATTTTTAAAATAAAATTTTAAAAAATTTTCATCATCAATTTAACTGCAACAATCTTAATAAATTATTAAAAAAAGAATATAAAAATATTAGAAAAAGGATTTACCCTTTTATTCTTTCTTCTATTTATGAAATTTATTACATATGAGTTCGCCCAAAAATTGTAAATAGAATATAACATGCAATCGAAAACTTTCAAATGGAAATTTTTAAATAAATAAAAAACAAAAAGCAAAATATATTTTCATAACTTAAAGCATATGTTTTAAATTATTAGTTGAATAAAATTACAATTTTTATGTGTTGTGGTGTGACAACACCAACCAATTTGAAGAAGAATGTCACAGCGAATAAATATCAAATTTTTTTCGAGCTTAAAAAATAAAATCAAAAAAATTAACGTTAAGGAACAACAAATAATAAAAGCTTATCAAGCCACTGGACATATTCGCTCCGTACTAATGTAAGGATAGCAAGTCATGGTATCTTGTGCTGTTGGAGCTAAATGTCCCTAAATCAAACTTTTTGCGCAAAGCATCCATGTGTTTTTTCAAGGCTGTACTTCGCAAAAGATCGCCTATATTTTGTCCTAAAGTTTCCAGTACTCGCATCTCATCTATAAAACAATCGTATGGATTGGGAACATATGTTTTCGTAACGTCCTCCTAATGGAAGCATGCAATAGCGAAATGGTTGTTTAGGCATAATAAAATTGGCGGGATCACAGCCACCAGGGTACAAAACTACTCCAAGATGCAAAGTTTATGTAAAGGAGTACCGCAGAGAGTATTCTCTTATAATTGTCCTTACAATTAACAGACCTAATCAATTCATATAAACAAAATCAAGGTAAAAAAGAAGAGTGAGTGCGGTCTGCCTACAAACACGCCCATACATGGCAAGGAACTAAAGTAATCTTGTAAAAAAAGGACGATTTTTTCGTAATCCAAACATTTAAACACATGTCAGCGCCATTCACAAGCTCCCCACAAAAAAACTGATTTGTTGAAATACTAGCTCTGCTTCCAATGTGTTATAAGCCACAGCTGCTATTCGCAAGAAGCTCTTTAAATTGATTATTTCACTTCTAGTTTGACGATGAGTGCAGTGCACATGATGAAGAGAAGAGCGAGTAGTAAAAGCCAATTTATAAACGAAGCATTTATTTGATATCAGATCAGACTTTCTTTTTTTTTTTGTCACAATTAAATCACAATAATGCGTTGACAGAAAACGTTACAACGCAACTCTTTCGAAAATAATTATTTGTCACGTAAACTCTGTAGCCAGTTAAAAAATTGACAACCATCATGCCAGCGCATAAACAGTCTTCGTTCAAGACCATTCTGAAAAGAACAAATGCATCGTTTAGATTTAGCCATTTATTTCTATGTACCTCATTTACCTCAAAGCTCGGAATTCTGCTTTAGCTACATGCGATATAACAGTAGATTCCACCAATCAACAAGTGTCACATGCGATGGTACTGAACAAAGAAGAAACAACCATGGATTTATAATAACTTTTGAAGATATATAAATTGAAACAGTTGCATTTATTCTGCTAATCAAGTAACCTGCAAAAATGTTGTGATTAAGAAAGATAAGAGAAAATTTGTTAATTTTTTTATTACCACTAAATTCAGTCAAGAGTATCGAACATCTGCTTTTCCACTAAGGTTCTAATTGGGATAAAATTTTCACTGACGTGATACGCAACTTCCTTCGGCCCTCTTTCTGGAATGTAAAATATATATTAGCTCATGCAATGCAACACACCCCTGTTCTTGAGACTACTAAAAGGAATTGAAGGTATTGTAATCGGATTGAATATAGCTCTTGAGCATATCCAAGTATCTTTTATTATCGTGGTCATTCCATACAGCACAATCGCCTAATTTTCGACTAGAACGTCGATGACCATTGATGTAATTCCAAGAAGAACGTAAACTACCGTTACCATATAACTCTTTAATCGCAATAGCTCTATGTGTTCTTTTCGCCTTTCTAACTTCAGACCTCCATTCATTCAGTGCTTTCATATATTCAACGTAGTTGGCTGGATTGGCATATTTACTCATTTTTTTCCTTGCAGCTTGGTATTTGCGGAGAAGTGTTGATAGGGAAGAGTTCCACCAGGGTTAGGGTGAGAAGGACTCAATCTCACGAAAGTTGGTTCTAGTAGACTTGACCACAGACTGAAAGACACTTTGAATTGATGATAAATCGGAAGGAAGATCAACTTTAGATAGACGGTCCATAAGGAAGTTGCTTGAAATGATATTTTCTATTTTCTTAACGAAATTGTTTCAACTGTGGAATAAAATGGAAGAGTGCTGGCTTTTGCCAGTGGAAACGCTGGACGAGTTCCAGTTGGATGATAAAATAGTTGAATTCGAGAAAGTTAGATCCAAGACAATGCTCGCCGTGCGACCACTCCGGTTACAGTGAAAGTTAGTATTGCCATTATTTAAGACACTGAAACTGCAGGAATTAATGACATTTACAAGGATCTTGAGTTTGTTGGTCGAGACTTGATCGCCATACAAGCAATGTCTAGCATTGAAATCTCCAGCTAGAATCACATTTTGTTCGCCGTCAAGAAAGTCACATAATCTCTGAATCTTATCGCGAAAGGTTTGTACATCGAGACTGGGTGGAAAGTAGCGTGATGTTAAGAAAAGATTCGGTTTAAGATTCATGGGTTTGATGATGATAATGTCAACAGTAAAGTTGTAGGGAATATGTCTGAAATTGACACCTTTCTTAACTAATATACTAACACTGCCATAGTCATCATTTCGGCATTTGGTGGCCGAACCATAATTCGGAACTATAACTTCAAAACAATTTTCATCTTTCAGAAAAACTTCGCTTAAGATGCAGAAATCAACCTCATTTGAGTTCAAGTAAAAATCCAGAAACGACAGGTTACGTCGGACGCTTTGGATATTATATTGTAAAAAGGACATCACATTTAAAATTGAGAAGGAACCGCGGCAGATATCCTCGTAGTGCTGGGTGCTTGAACGGGGCGACAATTGGCACACACATTTTTCCTTCAAGTTCTTTAATAAGATTATGAGGGATCATCGGACGGATAATTTCTTCAATCGCAGAGATTAATCTTTCAAGTTCTGAGGAACGCAAATAGTTGTTTGAAATTACTGGACGTCGAAGACTTGCTCCTCATGGTTTGGGGGGTGCATTGAGAGAAGGTTTGGTGGATGAATCGAGAGGACATTTGGAAAGAACCGATTCCCTTTTGACGACAGCATTAAATTTATTCTTGGCTAAAATTTTATTGGCATTATCACTGTCGTCCTTGCTCGAAATGACAGACGCGTTCCCCAATGGAGGGAAATTGTCATCGTAGGAGACGTCGTCAAGACATTCGAAGCAGTCTGAGGAAAACTTCTCTTTTACCTCTTTAAACGAGAGATTTGTAATTGCCATGATCCTGTTGATGTTTGATTCGAGTTCCCTGTTCGGGCAACACTTGCTGAGAGTGTTGCGCTCGTCTGAACCACAAGATAAGCACTTCCTCGTCTCATAGTTCACACACACTCGGAGACTTCCCACAGTTCAGGCATCTGCTCTCCTTAGATTTGCAGAATTTTGAAACGTGATCGTATCGACCACCTTCAAACATTGCTTTAAGGCGGGTAAAAAGTACTCAACCGAAAGATAAAAATTACTATATTTGATTGACTTAGGGAAGGCTTTCCCTTTGAAGCCGATTCTGGTGCTGGTTGTGGGAATTTGTTGTTGAGATTCTTTCATTGAAAACGGGCAGCGGACTTGATTGGAATATCGGATACGGCGTGTTTAATTATATCTTCTACACTGTGTATACATGGGATGTTTCCAACGACTTCGAATCTCTCAGTGAACGACCTAGGTGTGTACGCCTTTAAATTCTTTTTAGTAAAATCGTTATTTGTGACAATACAATTGGCATTGAAAAGCTGCTGACCACTTTTAGTTCTTGTAAGCCGTACATGGTGAAGTCCTTTCAGGTAATCGTAAAAAAAGGGATCGGAGTTGATATTCATACGATTTCCTTCTGCGTTTGCGCACGTTTCGACAAAAAGGACGAAATTGCACTTCGACAGGCAGTCGTACAAATTGATCCCATATCACCCAAATCAGAGGGCTTGTCGGCTGTCACTGGAGTGGCCCGATGAGCAAAATTTTAATGTGAGATTTTCTATTTGTTTCTAAATGCTTTTTATGTGTTTAGAAGCCCGGATATAATAGATGTACCGTCTGAGGAAGATACGCCAAGCACGACTAAGAAGCGTTTCAAACCTGCTTCTTGTTTATTACCTAGAAAAGAAACGAATGTACTTATTTATATGTATTTATTTCAACTATGAAATACATTCATTAATCAAATAGAAATAATAAAGAATTTGTTTATATTATTTAAATTATTTAAAAAGAAAAGGCTTATCTGACATTCAGATAGGTGACTACCCGTAAGATTTTGCAGAGGAATTGTTTTTTTACTTTTGGCCAGGCGGGCTTTGTAAAGTAACCAAGTTCAGCAATGAAGTTTTGCTTGTATTCCAACGTCTAGGAGAAAATTAAATTTGTAAATTTTTATAAATTTGTAAATTATGTATACAATATATATAAACACCTATGAACTAAATATAACTCCGATTTTATGAAAAATTCACAACTTAAATGCCTTCTCCAACTTTGGGATGTAAGCGAGCGTCGTCGTGCTTAGACTCATAGTGAACTGACACAAATTAAGCAATTGACACAACAACAAAAGCCGTGCTTGACTGCCTCATCACATCGTTTTATAAGAAATAGTAAACATATCTGTGTATGTGCAAACAACTGCTACATAGTCTATATATAGTATGGTACGAAACGTAAGAAATGAAGATCAAAAATGGGAACGACAAAGTTAATGTGAAAACAATCTTTTTGAAATTGATTAGTGAGAAAAAAATTTTTTAAAATGAGTTTAGGAAATAGAAGCGTTGGTAGTTGGATTTACTTTTACTTCTTACTCTATAGCTGATTTAATTACAATAATAATAATGCATACAATTATAATTAAAAATTATGTTGAAAGCATTAAGCGAATGAGAAAATTTAAGTTAATCCGCATCTTTGAAGTCATCTCACGATTCTTTACTCAGTAATGCCAGTAATTTTAGCATCTACAGTTTACACAACATTGCACTAAAATAAGTTAATCTCCGTTCTCCTTCCACGGTCTCTGTCCTCTAACATTCTCCCAATTTTCAATGTCAAGCTTTTTGATTTTCTCAAATTCCCTTTCTATAGTCACGTCTTCGGGCTTCCTCATGTTTACACCGACCAGCTCCATATCTTCTGGCGTAACAGTTTGCTGCCGGGAACATTTATATCTAGTGAAATAGGAGCAAATGAATCTTATAAATTATATCATGTAAATCAAAAAAAGGAACCTTAACTCGGAAAATTTCTGAAGTCCAAACTTACCATAGGTTTATTAAGTTCTCCCACACTGGTGTAAAGAAGAATTTCATTCTTTGCGTTTGATTCCACCATAGCCCGTGATGATCCAGAAAATAACGTACGATATGGGGAATAAAAACTTGGCCCAGGCCCGCACCCGCAAGGGAAATACCAACAGCTCGGCCAAGTTTTGAATTGAATTAAAATAACTATTAACGGAGACAAACGGTACTTTGGTAATGTATGCCTACATTTTTTTAATTTTGGATTTTAATATACCAAGGAAAGAGTAAGTAGTAAGAACGTACGTATGTTTGGAATGCTCACACGTGTTGTCGCTGGCTAGCCTGTCAGAAAAGCGAACCCGGCTTTAATGCTCGCTACAAAGAGAAACCGCACCAATGTCATTTATGCGAGAAGCGAGTTTCGCGAGTCGAAAACCTTAAAATCCATATACACTCACATTCGGGCGAGAAGCCGTACGTATGTGCACACGAGAGTTGTAGCAATTCTTCTGATCGTTTCAAGCACACACGTACACATTCTACGGAAAAGTTTTACATGTGCAAAGTACCTTGTTGCCAGAAACGTTACACCGAGCCTTCATCGTTACGCAAACATGTGAAAACATTTAGACATTCGATACAAATAATGAAATCATCTATAGAAACATCAAAGTCCAAAGAATCTGATTATATTAAGCATCGAGAACATATAAAACCGTCTGCATATAAATCATTCATAGGAATATCTTCGAATTCAATACGTCGCTCTTCGCATGCACAAGACTCCTTTTGCTTGGCTATGGAGAAAATATGCCACGTTAAAGGCAAAAAAATTGACTGTTATTGGTTAAGAGATGAAGTTGATGGTCTTACGTAACTTTACTCCCATGACTTTAGCAATAGAAGTTGAATTATCAATGGAATTGGATGTAAGTGGTGAAAAAGCTTTAGATTTAAGAATTGAACGAAGATAGCAACGATTTACAAGACGTGGGATTATCTTCTATTTTATCAATCTTTTAGTCTGAGATTTTAGTCTTTTGTCTTTAAGGAACAGAATAAAGAGACTGTTAATTTTTTCTCAACACTAAGCCTCTATTAAAATGTGATCATATAAAAATAAAAAAAAGGTTTATTACTTACAATCAGATTTATACTGTAACAACCGACAAGAGTAGTCACTCCTTTTTTTCTTCCAATTTTTATTAATCAAAAAAATTTATGCCGTTCTCATCTGTAAAGAATGTTCGATTATTCAATTTATATAATCCACCAGCATCTTTGGTAATTTTTAATTCGTAATTAATGGCAATTTCAGCTTTAGTTTTTAAATGACAGGATTCGACTGTAAAGCAGCAGCTTAAATTATGATCTTCACATAATTGTTGGAGTTTGGATACCCATTTTTTGTAATAGGTGGACATACGTTGCAAATGTTGATGGCAATCCTCCCAATAAAATCTATCCAAACCATCTATAGCCAATAGGCCGATATTACTGTTATTCCATATTAAATTTTCCAACTCGGTAAAGGCAATTTCAAATTGTGATAAAGAGTAACAATTTAGAAGTGTAATCGATTCTAAGCATTTTTGTATTATCTTGCTTTCGTCTTCGGGAGTAAGAGTAGTTTCATGAGTTCGTGTTAACGTACGCTTTAAGTGGTTGTTGACAAAATTGATCACATCAAATTTGTGTGTTAGATCTATGAAAATAATTTCGCAACAGCTGTCTTGCGGCCAATCAGAAAGCACAGCGCGAGCCATTATTTGGAAAAGCACCACACTTTTGCCGCTTCCATTTGCTCCCGAAATTTCTACAAGACTTTTTGATTGCAAGCCATCATCGAGAAATAGTTCCGGCCAAAAATTTGCCTTTGCAAAAGTAGGACGTAAGTTGGAGTTATGACGTACTACCAATTGGTAGCCAGAAGCTATCATGGTGTCTTTTCTTCCAAAAACAAAATAAAAACTACTTTTGTAACTTTAGCTAACCAAAATTGAATAAATTGTATATTTACACGAATGTGCGCCAAAACTACAGCACAAGATCGCGATCTTCTTCTTGCAACCATTTTGCCAAGCATCGTGAAATGATAACTTTATTTTAAATGAACGTTTAAATTCTACCAATTTAAAGGAATTTTTATTAAAAATATGTAAAAAGAAATTGTCGTATTTTCAAATAAAATTTATATTATTAAGTAATTTTCATATATATTTATATTTTTATTTTAGACCGTCCGAGGTTCATTTACTTGCTGCAATTCAATCTCACCTTCATTTAAATTATTGGACTTTTGAGGATTAATATAACTTTCAGAACGTCGCCGGGATACTTATTTGGTACGTAAAGGTATTTGTGGTTGTTTAGTATCTAAATTTTCTTCTTTATTTACATTAACGGTATGCTTTCCCCCCACCTGAGCGCACCTACGCTCACTAGGCGCCTGTCCCTGCGCTCGTCTGCACCCGAGGTGTGGATGCTTGAGCGTCTGCCCCGGCGCTCATGTACACCTGGGCAAACACCTGGACGCTGATCGTCGGCGATGCCGGGCCCTATTTTTTTCTCGACTTTCTTGTTTCACTAAAAAAAAGTAAAATTTTCATTTATTTGATCTAAAAAAATAAAAATTAAAAAATTACCAGTAGACATGATCGTTTGTTTTGGGTTAAGTGTTTGAAATGAGATTTCTAGAAATTTCAGCGCTCGTTTGCAGCGCTGTAAAAAAAAGTACTCATTATGCTATTATCACACGGAATTAGGTAAAATGTTTGTAGGATATTATTGGAAATTGATTTGGTGGTTTCCTGTGCTGTTAAGAACATATCCAATAAGGGAAATTTTAACAATTGTAATAATATACTGAAGGTAAGGTAAATATGTATATGATAACTCCTTTTTATTGAACTGATAATTAATACAATGCATATTCCCACTTTTTTGGAAAAATATAGCGTAGAAGGAAAAGAAAACTAATCTAAACTAATCCTATACGAAAATAATGCTCCATAATAATTATAATAATACTAATTATGGTAGAGGATATTTACAATTTTCGTTTATTGAGAACAAAATTTTTATTATTCTTTCGTCAATGTTATATATCGCTCTGTTTCAAATATTTATTTTTTTTATGATGTGGGAAATCGTTTTTATTAGTTTATATCATCATATCTAAATATATTATCATAGATGTTGTGTCAAATGTTATGGTATTGGTGAGTGTTACGAAACGTTTGTGGAAATGGGAATTCTTAATAGGAAAGAGAAAAAGGAGATGGCGGCGATTCAAAAACAAATCGTTTCGCTAGAAGAACTGTAAGCAAGTGTGTGTGTGCAAAAAAAATATTGAAAAAAAAAAAATAAAAGTCAAACAGAAAAAAAAGCTATAAAGTTATATTTATTGAGTGTGTGCAAAACAGAAAATAGAGAAAAAAAAATAAAAGTCAAATCAGCCAACTGACGGGCATCACGCTTTTAAGGGAACTTTTCCGTGCCTCACGGCAATCTCATTGGGAAAACAGTTCAAAAGGCAGAGTGACCTTTGAATTTATCCGCGAAGTCTCGTACGTAGAACACATTCAGATTTTAGCTTTAGGCTTCACATAGGGTTTCTGCTTACGGGCCACGGATCCCTTAATGCATATCTGCATAAGAGAGGTCTGTCGGGAGCTGGGGCATGTCTGAACATTGGTTGGACATTTTGTGTTTATGCTCCAAGTGTCCGGATCTCAGAGACTTGGAAGCAATGGGTATACGACAGACGAATGGGAACTTTGGCCTCAGTCTGACCCTCTCTACTTCTGAGACGGTGGTAGCTTTGAGCGCGTATGCTACGCGGGCGTTCATCAGACGCAGCGCCGAGAGACTTGATCTGGAAAACTCTGTCTGATCCTCTTCCGTGCTCTTCTTGTACGGCGACAATGACTGAACAACAGGGGATTCGGAGCTGCATGGAGTTCTTAAGTCTTACCTGAGGCTTCCTCTTTCTGGTTGGTGATATGGAGAAATCCGATTCCAGGCTTTTCCTACATCGCTATTCTTGTACACTCGGTCTACGGACTCTGTCCACAAAAATTTATCCTAAGAGGTTGAGATAGGCCTCGCTCCACCCAGTGAGAATACTATGCCCACGCGCATGGTATAGGCTGGTTTCTTTCAAATGACTATCTCTTGCCGAGTGCAGGTCTTATGGGACCTAGAAAGTCTGACCGGGAATTTTTATAAGCTTTTGCTGAGCCCAAAAATCGCGGGAAGAGCTTTTGCTTGGTGTGGAGTTGCATCGCAATCGGGTGCCTTACCCACAAGAAGGCAGGAGTTTTAGATAGTGCCTCGCTCTCAGCAGAGCGGAGATGCGACCATTACGTATTTCGTCTGCTGCTCGAGGATTTAATATTCCTCATGGCAACGTGCGCGTCGACTTCGGCACGGTATGTTGCGAGGATTATTAACCTCGGGGAGTTTGAGTGTTTCACACTCCGTGTGCCATTGGGCACCCTGAGGTTAATGGTTTGAAAGCCAGACATAGTGCGTCCGTTTGTTGTTGGTGCGTTTCTCGTGTGTTTTGAAAGGATTAAGGAAGGAAAGCTGACGCTAGGTGAGGTGTGAAAATGGATGTGCTCCATCTATGACCATCTATATTACTTCACAATCTTTATCAGATATTTGGAGAACAATAGTTTCTGATATGAAGTTAGTGCACTGTGCTAAGTAAACTTATTTGCCTTCGTTAGAAATTAATATGAACATTTTTAGCCAAGACACAACCCTTCAAAAAATGTGGCCTGTCTTGTTGGGCTATCTTCGCTCCGATAACATTTTTTTATAATTGATTTAATGTTTCATGCACATGGGGAGGACGTATTTGCCCCGGTGGTGATAAAAAAAGGAAACAGTAAGGAAATCGGGATTTTCTGATATGTTTCAGCATTTTTCAAGACATATCAAAAACCAGAAGTTTCGTAATGTTTCCGAAAATCGTTACAACTCGATTTCTATTTTTGAATCTTTCATTGCTTGTACTATAACTGTGCGTGGCAGTTAATATCAACAACTTAGTCTTTTTTGGTTTTATGATCGTAGTTAAAGGCTTAGTTGGTTTTACATGTGCTCCTAATGTTTTTTAGTTTTAATACTTATGTTATTTGTTCTTTTTTTTTAAATAAATCGTAAGTCAGCAAAGACATTTTAGCTTAAAATATGTGCGCTTTCTTCACCTGCGTCAATAGTTGTATTATCCCTCAGCAAATATGGACATGGACTATAGGAGATATTGTGCGACCTAAAATTTGTATTGTGTAAGTATTTCCCACGATTGTGCAAAAAAGTGGGGATCGACCGTTTTTATGCTCAGAAAACTAACGAAATACTTTACACTTTGAATACGTGATAATCAGAAGGGAGAAGTGAATATAATTTTTTGGATTCTCCGGTGTATTCATATTCTCAAAACGTTTGCAATGCCCAGTAGGACTCTTCAGAGACTGCAAGAAGTGAACATACTCTTGATTAGCATCAAATTCTGAAACGAGTTATGGAAGTGCGTCTGCTATGGATTGTAAATATTCCTCTGACCACAGAAATGAAGTAATTGATTTGAAATTTAGCAAAAGCACTGGAAGTTTCTGCACTCAAGTTCGTATTGAAAATGGGCCCGGTACGTAGAAGGACACACCTGCAGTACAATCTAAATTGAGAACATCTCTGTCTCTCAAAAGGAATTCAGAATTGGGTTTTTGGTTTTACTTGTGCAAAAATGGGAAAAATTGGCCACGCCTACCCAATGCTAAACTATATTAAAATTTAATTTTTTTTCAGTACATTTCTAATGCGTAGAAGCAAACTGCAACTACTCCATAAAATATATAAATTCTTAGTAGATTCAAATGCGGAATAAACCTAAGTGTGTTCGCCTGCCCATCTATTCGTCTGCCCAACTGCGTAGTATCATTGTCCCCTTCGCAAAGATGAAATGCTTAGAAATTTGTAAAAGAATTTTAAAATTGCTCAAACCTGTCGAACAGCATGTCTGCCTGCGATACAAAAAGTCTGAACACCTTCGCACCTTCATCATATCAATTTTCGCTTTTATTCTGAAAATGGAGAAATCCAACCGCGCCCACCCAATATTATAGGGTGTGAAAATTTAGTTCTTTTCCTTTTTTTTAAATCCTTTTTAGGTGATGGGTGTAAAAGATTCGGTCAGGACCGAATGTAATTTTCTTACTTATTCTTTTTTGATTTTTACTATTCATATTATTTATTAATTAAATATTGTACATAGGTCAACAGTTTTTCAATTTTTTTAGAGTTTTCCGCTTTCAGTTCAGATTTTCATCTATAGCAAATAAAGACACACACACGCACGCACACACATACACGCACACATACATACATACATACATGCATACATACATACACATACACAAACATGTACATTTGTGTAAGTAAGTATGGATGTGCATACATTTTTGTAAAATTTTCCAATTTATTTACGTAATGTTTTCCTTTGTACGCACATTAGCCATGAACATATATTATCGTTTTATGAACGTGAACGTACTTGTTTTTTTTTCCTTTTTTTCTATTATTTGTATGCGTAAGAGTTGAACAATAATTTTGGTTATTAATTTTTGAGAAAAACAAATATTTTACTTTTCAATTTTTGCTAACAATAAATCACAACATATATATATATATATGTATATATGGTTTGTAAGTTTGTATATATTCATTTTTTTATTAGTATATGTAAGTATTTATAATAGGATATCTATGGCTTTTTAATTAATTAACATGAAATTTATTGTACAATTTATCGTTTGTTCACGAAAAAAATAAATAAATTAACAAATAAATATATTTGGATAAAGATCTCAAGTCAATGTACATCCACCACCATGAGTTCCATATAGGATAGAATATCTTTATAGATTTGCGTTTTCTTACCTAATTTTTGAACCTTTCAAGTAAAAACTGCTCAACGATAGAATGGAACGCTCTGTCAACATCTCCAAATATCTATTCGAGCTTTGAGATAGGATTTTGTCATGCTACTTGGTTTAACCGAGGACTTGTTTGTTGTAGAAAATTCTTAATTAAGAAGGGGAAGTCTAAAAGTAAATCTAACCCATTTTGAGTTTTTAAAGAAACTGATCGATTCTTGACTTGAATCCATCAACCAAATCTGAAAACAGGTCTACTCCATTGCGAATAGTTAAGCAGCCAAAAAAATTAATTAGTTATTGAATTGATCTTGTTTCAGTTCGGGGTATCAAATTTTAATCTAGTGTAGATATAGCTTCTTTGGTCAAGTCTAGAAATGGACCTAAATGCTTAGAAAACAAAAGATATCCATCGATTATTGAAATGATCTTGATTCAGTTCGTTTCATCAAGTCTATAATTGGATCCAAACCATTTCAAATGCTTAGAAAGGAAAGGAAATCGATGAGTGTCGAAATATTGAAACTTAGTGGATTAGCCCCGAATAGACGCTGTTAATCCGTAGATCCATTCCAAAAGTAGGTTTAATTTATTTAGAATATTTGAAGGAGCAAAGAAATCGGCGGATTGGTGAAATTCTGTCACAATCTTGAGACTTGGTATATGAGCTCTTCTTTGAATTCAAGATTGAAGGTGCAGCACTAGGTCCGTTCGCCTAACAAGAATTAAGAAATCGTAAAAACGTTTAATTTATTTCGACTGTTTCCAATAAATCGATGAAATTTAGTGGAAGTTTATTATATTTTTTTTGTTTGTGCTCACTTAGCGTGAGAAATATCCTGGATTTTCTTTGCCAAGATCCATAAATAAGAATCGTGGTTTCTATGAATTGCATAAGTTTTTATTCACAATGGGATTTTTCGTTCAAGACTTTCGCCTTCGTTCTCAGCCCCCAAAATCGTGATAGAATATTGAAACCTTACACTTGTATTCCTGATATATTTAATGTAATATAGAAGTTTATTCTACCGATCAGTGATCCAACTTCGCTATAAAATTTGTAACAAGTAAAAACACGACGAGTGGGACATGGATCAACATTAAATACTTTAGACCACCCTACAGTTATTTATATAATGTCTCTCTAAAGAAAGGTGCTAATTATACGGGAAGTGATCGAAACAGCGGTCCGATAAAAACCGTTTTCAGGAGGCTTCGTCCTTGGGCTGAGACATGTACTAAACTTGATCGAAATGTCCCAAAAATTGCGATCTGTAGTTTGAATGAAAAAGAAAAACAAGACAAACGGACGCATCGATGGACGGACGAACAGCCAGATGGACACAAGAGCTCAGATCGGTTGAGGGTGTGGTTCTGAATCAGAAGGTGATTCCGAATCGGTTGGCCTAATAAAAGGTGTGTCATCGGCTTGTTGTATACATCTGTACAAGCCTTTACCACATGTGGCATAAGGTATAATGAGAAAAATATTGAAATGTTCTTAGCAATAAACGATGAAAATTCTTCTGAAATTTAGAAAAAACGATTACATAAAAATTAAGCTCATTTGTGGAGTATGTTTTCTTTTTTTTTTGGGTTTTTCTTCGTTTGAGACTTGGCGTAAACTCATTTAAAAGATGGTGAATATGAAATAATCGGTTCAGACCGAAAATGAATTTATTTTTTTTTATTTTTTTGCTTATTTATATTTTAATATTTTATATAAGGAGCAATTAATAGTTTAATATACGCGCGAATTATTGATTAAGAGCAAGAAAAAAAAAAATTATTACTTTAATTAACATTAACATTCTTCGAAGATATCAAACCACAAAAAATTATTGTTAATAAATAGAAGTTAATTTAAAACGAGAAAGAAATACGTATTAATTAATTGAAAAGTTCATTGCATTTTAAATATTTGAGGATCAAAAAAATTCTTAAATGAAATAATTAGTTATAGAATTATGATAAAGTGTATGCTATGGTTAAAGTGATTTTCAGTCAATAAGTCAGGCGTAAGGCTTTTCTGGCATACCTAACTACAACGAGCTTAAGGGCCATCCCCGCTTCGGGATTGTTTGATTGGTCCGCTAAACCTGGGGATCAGACATTACGGAAAAGGCCCTTTAATTCCTAGGTTAATCTGTATTAAGTTTTAAAGGAATACTCACAGGAATATTTTCATGATTTTCCATTATGTTTTGTATACTAATGTGAAGAATATTAACGTGTCATGATCTTAAATTATTGATAGACGGTAATGATAACAAAATTATAAAAAAGAGAAACAATAGAACGATTTCGTTCCTCACATGTTTCAACAAGTAAAAACGTACATTACGTACAGTGGAGCAAAGCCCACCATAAAATACCATATCCCGCCTCATAGTTACTTATATGAAAAACTTCTTAAAATTAGGCGTTATATGGGAAGTTGTCATAAAAATGGTTCACTTCGAACTATTTTCAATAGCCTTTGCCCTTTAGTCGATATACGTTAGTGTGCCAATTTTCATCAAAATATCTCAAAAAATTGCGGCATTTAGGTTGAACACAAGTAAGCAAGGCGGACATATGGACGGACAAAATTTAAAAAAATGATTCTGAATCGATCGGTTTTATAAAAGGTGAGGGCATCTCAAGTCTCAAGATCCGCACAAAGCTTGCCAAAGGTGGTGTAGAGTATAAAAGCGGTTTGGTTGAAAAAATGTACGGTGTTTTATAATCTTCGGCTAAGGACAAGAGCTTAATTATGCCATTATCTCATTTATAATGCCACATCTATATGTATAATGTAGATTCAGAGTTGTAAGGTATCTAGTTGTGAAGCGCACGCAGCCTTAGTTAGGCGTTCATCCTTCTGCACATGTGTCCATTGTTGAGCCTTTTAGTAAATACCATAAAGTACTCAGACTAGGCAAAAGCTTAACGCTTACCCGGAATACACCCCTTAACCTACTGTTCCATCCTTTTCCTTTCCTATCACATCTTTCACATCTCTAGCCCTTCCTTTATATGCACGTTGGGTATATACCTCGTGTGAAGAGTCATATTAAAAAAAAACGAGCGGAGGTTGAAGCTCCCGCAAAATGTAGTAGACTCCTAAGGCGTCCGTCCGCCCTTCTGTTTGTTTGCTTGTCACTTTTAGTGTTTAACAAAAATTGAGGTGGCAAACTGAAACTTGGCACATGGTATACATAAGATGAGTATACTCAATACAACAATACAGTGAGTTTGTTTGACGTCAGATTTTGTGAGCAGACATTTTTTTGCTTTCAAGATAGTCGAAAACTATAGTTAAATATAAAAAATATTTCCTGTTTACGACGGATACTTTCCTATTGATGCCGAATAACTTTGATATGATGATCGTCTTAAGGGGAACACAGTTTCTTACTTATCTTTCGTATTGAGTATACGTACACGCCTTCTAATGTGAATGTAGTTTAACTAATTAGTTTTGATAGCCAATATGGACATTTTGTCGTAAAGGGAGCATAGCTAAGGTGAAAACATAGTTTTAGTGCATTCACGCTTTATTGAATATAGTTTCCTTAGATGTTTCTTATGTCAAACCTTCATATACGTCTCAACGTGAACACAACTTCACGCTTCTTTTCGATCTTGGCCGAAAAGAAATGTAATTTCTCAATTTTTTAAATATCCATATTCATCGTAGGATGAATATAGTTTTGTTATTTGTTTTCGGTGTCGAATATCTCGTTCACCATCATATTCTCATTGGCGTGTCATGTCAAACATCTATACTCGCTTTAAAGCAAACATTGCTGCCTACTGGTTTTCGATGTTGAATATCTATGTTCGCTTTAATCTCGCTTGTTTTTTGTACTTTAAATATCTCCCTCTACTGCCTTCAAGGAGTATACGTAGTTTTACTATTCGTTTATAAACTTAAGGATGAAGTTTTCTGATTTGCTTTTGTAAAAATAAAACAAAACAAATAACAAAAAAAAAAAAAGAAAGAAAAGAAAAGAATGAAAGTGAGCTTTGTACGCGCGAGCATTTTATATATATCTAGCTTCGCCTAAATATTCCATCATCATGCAATTTCGCGAATGTTTCATTACAATGACATGATGAGATGATCTGCAAATTTTTCTTTCCCGATATTTCTTCTTCTGCTCTCATTTTTTCTATAGCCTACAAAATGAACACAAATTCTCTCAACTTTTTCCTATTTTTGTTTTTTGTTTATATTTAAACGTTTATGAATATGTATGCATACGCATCCACGTGTGTATGTATATGAAAGATAAAGGGTAACAACAGACATCAGGCTCTGGCATTGATTTCACATACGTTTTACTTTAAATATTTGGCCGTAACTGGTTAGTTAATCTATAATAAGTTTAAGTTTTTTGTTAAGTTAAAGAGAACAATTTAAAAAATTAATGAATTATTGATAAAATCTACCATTTCCGATGATAGAGAATTGATGGCATCCTCCACTGTTGGTTTATAACGATCAATTTTTGTCGAGTTTATTGGTGAGAAATGCTCTATTTTGCATACAAAAATCATTTTATTTTTGTAAAAAAATGAATTAGAGAGAGAGAGAGAGAGAGAGAGAGAAAGAGAAAGAAAGTAACGATGAATAATAAAATAGATATTTAATTGAATCGCTAAGATAGATATATGTTTACCAAATTCTCCGCTTGAACTAGATTCCGTGAAACTTGGTGTTCCTTCGGTCCAGGTGGGTGTTGAGCCTTCGCCAGAGGCCGGCGGTGTCCAGGCTAGACCGCCTCTCGATCCATATTGACTACTCGATGATGTATCTACGGCTAAATACGTGTCTAAATGTATTTCGGATACACTAGAAAATCATAAACCACTCAATCAAATCACAAATCAACTACTGGTGATAAAGTGCATAGCCAATTATTTTTGTTGTCGTGCATACATAGTAATAATAATCAGTATAAGCTAGATGATGTTCATTAATATAGGAATGTTTGATTTCTCTCCTTTCTCTTCTTCTTTCTTACCTAATCATGTCGTCTCTTTGCGAAGACGATGACGTTGAACGATAAGCTGGACCGACATTCATTTTACGTTCATGATACGGGTCGTGCGGTTGACTGTAGGAGTGATGATACTGATGTTGTTGTTGTTGTTGTTGCTGTTGTTGATTATGATGATGGTGTTGATGTTGATGAGAACGCCTCGATATTGATGAGGTACTATGTTTGTTATAGCTATCCTCTGAGATATCGTCGAAGGCGGGTGGTGGTGTAGAACTGCATGATGGCGTTGTGCCTAGCGATACAAAATGAGCCGAACATGAAATGAAAAAACAAATTAACTAAAAAAAAATTCAAGCAGCATTTCATGAGAAACAGACACAAAGATGGAGAGAGAAAGAGAGAGAGAGAGACAGACTTAAAAAGCTCTTTAACGTAAAATTAAACAAAACTACTACGTCTGCTATTTAAAGGGTTCAAACTATAACTAGATGGAAAGCCTTCGCTTATGGTCGATGGTACGTTGCCTCGTTTATTGCCCAGTCGCGCATGTTTGCCTGTAGGTGAAATCTGTGTCTGCGCCGATGTTGGAGGCGCCGGTGCTGGTCTCAAGCGAGTTTTCTTAGGCCAACGCGTTTTTTCCAAATCTTCCTTAACCTCCATAAAAGCATGCACTGACTGTAACAAGTTATCACCTAAATCATTGGCGTCCACTTCTTCGTTATCAGCTAAAGCTGCTCCTGCATAATGTAAATATTGTACACGTTTCTCTCGCTTTTTAAGGCGACGACTTTCCCGCAATTCGCGACTGTACGGAGAAACGATTATTTCACTTTCCAGAGGTCTTATGGGTGGAAAGCTATGGACAATCGAAGCCACCGAAGACCGATCACTACGGGAAAGTAAACTATTTTGACGCTGAAATATATCCACATGACTACGTAAGCGCGTGTGTGAGGTACGCGAACGGGCGGCAGAGTAAACGCTTGACGATGCGGATTGCATCGATTCGCGACGCGTAAGATGTTGTAATTGTAACGGTAAAGGATGAGGTTGTGTAGAAGATTCCGTTTTTGGTAATGTTGATTGCGGCGGCGGTGGACGGGGTGGAAGTTCTTGATTTGTATGACCATTTTCGACGCTGAACATTTCATGTAGCTCCAACCAATCGTGAACGTTACTTGGAGAGCGGTGTTCGCCGAATCGAGGCGGAGGTTTTAGATCGTCGACTTTTAATTCCTTTCTGTTCACCTTCTTGGGCAAGGAGTTGTTGAGATTGTTTGATAACGTGTCTGGTTTAAGAAAATTGTTTGCATTAACTTTACTACCTGGTGTCGAAAGTGTGCGAGTAGATGGCTCCGTCCCATGAACTCCACTATCGCTGTCACGTTTTCGCGGTGATCCTCTAGGCGGTACAGGCGGTGGGACTTTGGCTTTAAGAGCATTACCACCGCTAGATGGCGGAGCTGGGCCCCTTTGCTTTACAGGTGGCGCCTTTGAAGACTTTGTGACTGCCGTAGTGAGTGCCGTTGAAGAGCTAGCTCCGCCTTCACCTCCAGCTGTTGTGGCCAAGGCGGTCTTGTGGGCGGTAAGGAGAGTTTTCTTATTAGCATGTAAACTAGGCGGATGATTGTGGCTGTGACGTTCGTGATAGCTGTAATCGGCTGGATTAGAGAAATTATCGAGGATAGTCACTAGGAAGCTAAAAAGTGAATTCATTTGACACTTACTCTTCGCGTCATTATCGCTCTCGATTGAACGTTGTATTGCTTTTGATAAACTCTTTCGTTTGGAAGGTGAATGCTTAAGAGCTATAATTGCAAGTTAAGTAACAATTTTTTTAATTATCTAAAACTTAATAACAAAAAAAAAAAAAAATCAAAGAACAAATAAAAACAAAAGCAAAGCAAACAAATTTAAATGAAAAAATGTATGGACTTTAAAAAAATATTTATCGTTTTTTAATTTAACTTTTTTTTTTTAATAAAAAAATTTTTCTTTAATTTTTTTAATTAGTTTTTTTTTTTATCTCAAACGGGATAAAGAAAGAAAAACTTAACCGTATAATAATCTGAGATCCTTGAAATATTTAGATTATTAATAGTTTTATTTATTTATTTATTTATTTTTTTGAGGTTATAAAGAGGAATCTGGTAGTTTGGAAGTTTTAAGTCTATTGGATGCACAATTATCATTTACCTATATAACTGGTAACCAAGGTACGAAATTTTCTATGGTTTCCTTTGATCTCGGGGAGATCCACTTGCAGTTTGATTTGTGGTGGTGTGCATAAGCGGTATGATTCAATTAAATAAATAAATGAAAAAAAAAAAAAAAATACACACACACAAATGATAGATATATATGTGAATTGATTTTGAGATTAGCAGCATGATTTCAACTTACTAGCCAGCCATCATTCCATCATTATATATGAATGAATGCGCTTAATTGGAACCAAAATGCAGCACTGTATATGCGATCAACAATGATTGCCGCGTACAGTGCTTGAATTTCTCGTCGATTCTTTCAAAAAACGAAAAATGGAAAATAAACTTACGTGATGGTATTTTACGAAACACGGTTTTGGCCATAAAATTTTGAAATCTTTGAGCATAAAATGATGGACGACAAACCGAAACGGTATCCTTTAAATAAGTCATTCGAATAAGAGAGTTAAGTTCATAACAGCTTTTTTTTAATGATTCCTCCTTACTTACGCCATCGTGTATAATACTTTTAAAGGTATGTTCCAGTTTCTTTTTTAAACGATACGATTGCAAAATATCTATAATACCAACGAACAATAACAAGCGTTCGCCTTTTTCGCTACGTGCCGGTATACCACCAGGTCTGTATTTAAAAAAATCACAACATCTTGTTATACTTTTATCGTTTAAGTTTCACGATATCTATCTATTACTTACGGCATATCATCTTCGTCGTCTATCGGTTCGCTTTCGGCCTGTATACTTTCCATGGCGGTAGAATGAGCAACCAAACGTTGTCTGTTCGATCTGTAAGCCATACTAAATTGATTTATTACTTAGTTCATTTTTCAATTTTACAATATCTTTTTCGTCTTCTTCTTCTTCTTTGTCTTACCTATTCCGATTTATATTGCTTTGTGTATCGTCTTCATTATTGTCCGAATTTGTTTCATTTGCTTTGGCCACCGTTGGCGTTGTTTCTTCATTGTCCGATTCTTCAGTTTGGTATTGAATTTTTTGCGGCGGCCTTTGTATCTTTTGTTTCTCTTTTGTAGCCAAATCCAAATTATGTATACCAACTAATAACGAATAGTCCATAATTTTAAACGATTCTAAAACTGTGCAATCCCGTTGAATGGTTTTAATTAGGGCTGAATAAGTTTCAGCCTCCAGGAAGATACCATTCGGATGATGCTCCATAAAATCTAGATCTTTATATGTTGGCGATTTTTTGGCACGTTCCGCCTTAGAGGCTTTACGTTTAAATGTCGAACCTTTGAGATCATACTTGAGATGCATTTTTACATAAGACGGCAGCAAATTATTCATAACAACTAAACGTATATTTTTCCCGTTACTTGATTGCAAGCAATATAAACCAAAAAATTTTGGCAACAAAGTACGCGGATTTTGATTAAGATTCATATAGTAACTGAAAAGATCATCGAAAGAATTTTAAGTTCATTTAGTCATGAACCTCCATAAAAAACTTGGATAGAAAAATGATCTATAATATCTATGTACATATGTTCTTCTTATGATAATGAAGTAAAGAAAACAAGTACAAATATTATAGTGGGCCACGGTGTACCCTACAACGTTTCCCTTAATACAGTTATTCATAAAGCGACCTTCCAAAATGAAACATAATATTGGAAGTGATCGAAAAAGTGGTACGATCTCAATCATTTTCAATGGCATTGGTTGGTCTGCCAAATTGTTTGCAAATATCTCAAAAATCGCGACCTATAGATTGAATATAAGAATACAAGACGGACAGACGGGTAAACTTAGTTTGATTGAGAAAGTGATTCTGACTTAGACAAGTTCTGCCGGGTCTTGTATATATCCACAACCTTGGTATACCCGTGTACCACAAGTGCTGTAGAGTACAGTTGCCTTTAAAAAAATTTAAGAAATATTTGACCGTGGATTCCGTTAAAAGTTTACTACCAATTTATTCTTATCGGTACTTCCGCTGTCTCTTCCTGGAGCATACATAGAAAGCTACGCGTATATTCCCTTAGCTTATTAGTATTATATTTGTTTAAAATCGCATTTGTCCGGTCCCTGTAACCACGACCGTAATAGATAAAAAATTGCGGTGGCAGATATTAAAATAAAATTTGGAAGAACATGGAAAATGTCAGTTAAGTTTTCAAAGGATCGCGCCCTCACTTAACAAAATATCTTACAAAATTCTTATTTTGCAGACACAAAAATTCCTGTCGGAAGTCAATTCAACTTTCCGATCTGTTTTTTTGAATAAAATTAGGATTTTCTATTAGCTTTCGCGGTCCTCTAAGAAATATGACAAAATTTGAGTGAGGTTATGTATCTGTTATGTATCTGTTATAACTCGATTTGTAAATTGCCGCCTTTCATTGCGTGTACTGAACGCAACTCTGTATGACAATTAGTAACAATACTGTGGTTGTTTGTTTGGTTTTTCTGATTTTTATATTTATTTTATTGTTTTTTTTTTTTTTTTTTGCTTAGCGAAGACATTTTTAGCACAACACCAAACCTAGAAAAATGTAGGTTATCTTGTTGGGCTTTGGTTGAAATTGTAAGTCCTAACAGCTTTTATGTACGTTACTAATCTTACTTTATACTCTTATTGCATATTTACCCCGGCAGCAATTTTTGCAGAAATTCTCCTTCTTTATGTTGTACGGTTTTGATTATAAACTCATCATCGTCCGTTAAATAAAATATTGAACCAGAAGCCCCTGGATTGGAAAGTTCGCGTAACGGAGAAGAACACATTGACATCTAAAAATGAAGAAGAAATATTAATAGTAAAAAACATAGGAGGAAATGATTTTCGACTATGGCCGAATCTTCTATACCCATCTCTCTACACTTTTTTTCTTCGAAGGTTCGAAGAAAAAAAACAAAAAAATGTAATTTCGATATTTTTGAACCCTTTGCATGGCTATTTTTATTACGTATCGACATCGTGTATCTTACAATAACTTTCTAATGCCTTTGAGCATTATGTTATTGAAAATCATTAAATGATTTTTTTTTTACTTCAAATACTAAATGTATTATATTCTGAATACTTAATTTCTGTTTCAACGGGATATCTTTTTATGATACTTTTAAAGTACTTAAATAGTTAGTGATAACTAAAAAAACGTTAAGACTTAATATTGCCGGGACATGGTCATTCCATATCCCACTCTCATATAGGTGCAAGTAGGACTATCCAAAGAGTATGCGTGGAAATATTTATCTTGAGTGAAAAAAACCCGAAGAGGGAAGTTGTTCTCGGTTCACTTTGTGTTATACGTGTGCTTTCCGACCGATTGGATATATTTTCAATGCTAGCCGATGGACAACAATGTCTAGTGTTTTTGCAAAATTTTGGAATCGATATCCTAAATTTTGTGACTGAGGAGAAGTTAGTCACAAACATTACACAGACGAGCATCTGCATACATAGATTGGCAGGCAGACTGACACAAAGACGATCAGATAGACGGCCAGAGAGACAGATAGGTGAGACATTTTTTCACTTGTCATTCAAATTTTTCGAGACGTTTGTAGCGTTTCAATTTATGATCAGATAGCGCCTGAGACCTGCGTCAAGGTATAAACGGCGACGCGCAATACCCTGTCTGTCCGGATGTTCGCATGTTCGAGAAACACGTTTTCCAAATCTCTGGGAATAGAAATTGCGCCAGCTAACCTGCTAGCGGTAATGTTAATGGGCATCGTAAAAAGGATGGAAGAAATGCGACGGATTTGTGCAAGACATGCCTCGACTTAAAGCCACACGAACGCGACATCCGAAACCATAATCTCAAGCAAGGACGGGAAGGAAGGATTATAGAGTGAGGATCCTGGAGGTAATGTGAAAGCGGTTCCGGAATGGCAATGGCCCCATTGTAGGGCAGCGCGCTGCCACTACGCCCTTATAAAAAAGCACATTGAGAGACAGTTATACTGAAATCGCATTAGAATTTACTAGTATAGAACGCCTCTGAAGCTACCTTTAGACAAAATAGCAACATACACCTCAATTACCGATAGGCGCCTTCGGTATATATATATATTCAACTTGGACAGACGATTTTTATGCTCATTGATAGGCTGCATTGAAATGACTGAAATCTTCAACGTTCTCTTCAGGTGATAGCTCTTTTTGCACTCAAGAGATGAACATGAACAAATCTATTGCACTATCTACGTTACTTTTACATATATGGACTTTACAATGTATCCAAGACGTATGTTCATGCCTCTCAGTTCCTGTTTAAGAAATAAGATGTGCTCTTTGCGGAATAGGAAGAATTTTAAGTTGCAAGTTTCAAGTATGTGTACTAACTAATCTTACTTATCCAATTTTGGGCTAAACTTTATGAAAATAAAAAAACCGTCTAAAACACTACAGTAGGACACGGCCCCACTTCACCAACTATAGCTATTGAGATAACGACTGTTCAAAATATGTCCTTACATTGGAAGCGATCGAAAAAAGCGTCCGGTCCGAATGATTTCCAAAGCGTTTGTCCTTGGGCCAAAACATGTCTGCTTACCAAATTGTGATCGAAAGGTTGACTACCAGAAAACAAGGTAAACAAACGAATAGACGGACAGACGGGAAGACGGACCCGCAGATGGATTGACAGATAGACAGACAAGTGTAGATCGATCCGGAAAGTGAAGCTGAGTCGATGGGTGTAATAAAAGATAGGTCCATGCCAAGTTCTTCGGAGATTTGCATACATCCGCATTTAATCTATCCTTGTGTCGCAAATTGTGCAGGGCATAAATGCAAGGTTTTTAAGTAAGTTAAGTCGTCTTATGCTTACCATAAAATCATCCGGTTGTATGCCGAAAAGATCTCTAAAGTAACGAAATGCAATTGGTGCATATATCTTATATCTGAATTCGCTATAATGGTGGGCAGGCGTAAGGCTAGAACCCTCAGGAGGAAATGTTATACTTTCCACTTCCCAAAAGTCCATCATGAGTAAATCACGTTTCGGTTTCGAAGCTAAGCTACCAACCTTTGAATATGAAAAAAAAAATTTATATATGTAAATATATATATATATATATATATATATATGTGCATAATGAAGTGAAGATCTAATGATATATATACCGTATGTTGTATCCCTAATTGTATGGAGCCCATTATTTGAGAGGTTTGTATTTTCTTATACGTTATTTCGCCTCCTTCGCCCACTCGCCTATGACCTATTTTTCTTTCTTTATCGGCTTTATTACGCCGTTGTCCTTGAGCCTAGAACAAGGCAAGATGATCATTAAAAGACTACATTCATAGTTGAAAGTTCCACTTACCTCAGACAATGAGGAATCCATGGCATCTACAGTCGGTTAAGGACAAAAAAAAAGCGATAGTTTATTATAAACTTGTAGTTATTTTTTGCTTATGTTAAATACAAATGATAATCTTTAATAATTCAAAGAACATTACTTAAAAAAAAAAAACAAAAGCGTAAATAAATAAAAAAACGATAAACAAAATTTTTTTTTTTTTTTTAAGGAATTGAGCTGCTTTTGTTATCCTCTTTCCTTACTATCTTTTACTCTTATGTTAATATTTGTTTCGAAATACTCTCCGCTTTGCAAAATAATTTTTTTTGTCTCTAACTCTCCCTCGCCATGTGTTTCTCTCTCGCTCTCTTTTCCTGGTTAATTTCCAATAAGAGTTATGCATTGAATCTGTCAGTTCAACTATTCATTGATTTTTCAGTTCATTCAATCAAAAGTTACTTTTGCTCTTTTCTTTATCTTTTTATTTATTTTTTTTCTTTTATTTATTTATTTTTTTTAATTCATTATAATTAAACAGAAGAGATGAAAATACAAGGAAATTTTTTTGTAAATTAAATTTTTAAGTATTAACCTTCTCTTGTTTGACTTAGATTATCAGTATTTTTTATATTTGATGTGGATGATATATCCGGATCTATATTACTAATCGTATCACCCGAGGCCATTTTTCATTTGTTTTAATTTTGTTAATGTTGTGCTGCTTCCGCTTTCAATTCCAATCACTTTGCATATTCTATTTCGGGTATTTTTTTTTTTTTTTTTTTTTTTTTTTAATAATAATTTTCCAATTTATTACGATGTTCGCAACCAATAAAAAAAAAAAAATTAAGCTGAACTCTTTTAGGTTACAATCCTTCTTTTGCTTAAGCCTCTATGTGTGGTATGTGTGCCCGTGCGTGTTATGTATATATATGTGAAGATGTGAGAATGTGCTTTTTTGTAATTGATCTGCGTTACTTGCTCATGACTTATTGAATTTGTTATAAATTATTTTATTATTATCATTATTACGTTTATCGTTGTTCATTTCTATTTTTACACTGATTTATTATTTTATTAAATTTTTTAAACTTTCTAATTAATTAAATAATTTATTATTTGATTTCTATTGCTTCTAGTTTTTGGTTGATTACTTAATCACACACGATTCGTTCAAAGTTTTTTTTTTTTCAACCACTCATCGCGAATATATCTTTTGCTTTTTTTTTTCTTTTTTTTTTTAAACGGAATGCAAGTAAAATGAAGCACCTATAAATTCCGAAAAGCCTTGAATCTTGTCTTCTAGTGATTTTCCTACTACTGTCAGTCAATGCATACTTGAAGGCGAAATAAATGAGAAATTCTTTTCATTGAGTCGCGTGCTATTCCAATAGAGTAACAGCAAGAGTAGTAAGAGTTGCATTAAATCGGAGCATTCACCTATAACGGTAATGTCAGAGTTGCCAGAGAGTAACAATTTTTACATTGGTAATGCTTTCCATTCAACAGCATTAACAGATTTTTCATAACAAATCTATGTAAAGGACACAGTGTGAACAATGTGTAAGGAAATAATATTTCTATGCGAACGATTGAATAAAAAATAAACAAAAACATTATAGTAGGCAACGGTCTAGATTTAGATACCCTGCAGCTATTCAATTTGCACAATCACTCATATTAAGATTTTTCAAGATAAATTGTGATATGGATAGTGGTCGAAAAGATGGCCCGATCTGAACTATTTTTACTAACTTCAGTTGTTGGGTCAAACCATACCAACGTGCCAAAGTTTGGGTAACGACTTACAAGTGAAACTTCCTTCATTAAATTTCTCACCGTTGTCTTCTTTTCTACCTCAATTATTCTGGCGTTCTTTCCAGCCCGGCTTCGATCAGCATGCCTTCAATGTCAGCGGTAAAGAGCATGCCGTTTGAATGTTGGCGATTTTCATAATAGGTTTCTATCGTAAATATTACACATATCCTTGGTGGCAGTGATATTGCAGAATAAAATGAAATTATTCAGAATTTTGACACATTTTCAGAGTAGTATTACTCTCGACTGAATTAATAAACGTCCCAATTGGTTTTTACCCGTGTATAGACTTACTGCATCTTTCACACACGTCCAAGTGGCCAAGAGTTCTTTTCTTTACCTAATAATTATATTTTCATTAGACTTGAGAACATCTTACAATTTGCGGTACAAGCATAAAGCCATATATATTATATATATAGTTTTATATAGTATACGTCATAGGTCATCTTAACTAAAACTGTTTTTTGTTAATTGGAAACGAATAACTTATGCCATTTATTTGACTTTAGAACTTTTGTAACTTAGTATGAAAATGAAAATTCAAAGTTAACCGCTAAGCTAACAGAATTATTTCGCTGATTCTGATAATCAAAGTTTTGAGATCGCTATCGAAATCGTAATTGAAAAAAAAGCGCATGAAGAGAGACTTAGCGCACGATAATCACGAATGTGTATACATCGCTGAGACTGCCTGTTACATCAAGTCCACTTACTTATTTCTTAGTAGATCACAAATGTCGATCTCATACCTGAAACTCGGCGAATATAAACTTTAATAAAATTTAAAAATTACGATTCTCATGCATAATCTATCTGTCACCATACATGTAGCACCTAAACAGTTGGAAGAATCTCGAAAAAGATAGCCTTAAGCGGAGATATATTTTCATGAACTTGCACTTCCACGATTGGGAAAAAATTCAAGTTTAAACTTGAAGTTTAAACTTGAGCAAGTTGTTTCTTAAGTTTTCTCATGTCACTTTTGTTAGTTAAAGCTTAAATGACAAGGTAAAGAAAATTAACGGTTTTCTACATTATGGCATACGCTTCTAACTTTAATTTTCCCTTAAAATATTTCAGATTTGAAATGAAGTTAAATTATGCAAAGGATTTATACGCCAGCAGGATTTATATATAAAATAAGGTAGAATAACTTATGAAGTGTTGCCAGATTAAAATTATACAAGTAAGAAAATTATATTCAGCCGTGATCGAATCTCATATACCTATCTTCGTGATCCTAAAAAATAAATTTTCATACTTTATAATATTGTGTGGGTACGGCTGCTTTTCTCTATTTTTAAAATAAAAGTGAAAATTTATATAGTGTATGTGTTGTACTTTGTGAGTAATGAACAAAAAACACAGAAAATAAAGGTGTTCACGGTTTGCTTTGCATAGACGTGTGGGAGATATCTCCATTTTTGGGAATAAAAGAATGTTTACTACTGACCCGAAACAGTTGCGCAGACGAACAGATGGGCAGATGATTGGACGGGCATGCTTAAGCGAATTCGAAATTAGAGACAGGCCAGAAGTTTATATATTTTATGGTATTTTTGAGTCTTGTTTCTGTGCGATATAAAAGTTCGGAAAAAAAATTATACTATGACACAGTATAAAATTACGCAGGGATGATCAATTTTTTCCATTTTGGCCCCCATAGAACATTAAGTCAAATTTTTGTAAATTTATATGGTGTAGTTTATTTTTTTGAAAAACATAGGTATCGTCATCTTACACAGCACTGTAGGCGTGCCCTTCGACCTATTTGGGCCATTTTCAAGAACCTCCAATGTTTCCGCCAATTTTGAAATCGATAGCTTCATTGGTGCGATCAGGAGAATGCTTACAAAAGGCATTACCCAGACGGACAGACGGACAGACCGACAGAGGGGCATCCTTAAATCGATTCAGAAAAATGATTCTGTAGCTGGGTCTATCTTAAGATCTTTTGGGTGTTACATACGTGCGTACAACCTTAATATATTTGGTATCACAAGTGGGGTAGGATAAAAAGACGGTCTACCATACTAAGTGTTGAACCGAGTGCGTCGACTTGATAGTTGCACTTCCGAACTGTTTAGTTAAGCGATAGTCTGATGTGCTTGAAACAGGGGCATGAACTAAGGCATTTTGCAATCGCAGTGACCAATCTACCTGATTATCGGCCATAGGATTACTCAAGTCCGGTGATGAATGATGACATATGAAGAAAAATGCATTCTGGGATTTCATTCCTAACGCAAGGTTTGCGAGTCTGCCTTAACCTTCAAGTTAAGTTCGTGAAGCTACCTCAGCAAAACTATCACTCATTAAAAGGCTGAGCATCTACTAATTATTGCTCGTGCACAAGCTACGCTATGCGTCAAGTGTGGCGACTTCAAAGCTTTAATATTAGCGTACATTTACTTTGCTACTGTCACTGTCATCAAATGTCACTGAATACAATTGGCATCTATGCCTTCTTCAAAAGACACCGCGCTACTACGCTGACCTATTGAGGTCATGAAACATTATCAAGTCGCTACCGGACTTAATTAAACGAATTCATGCCTAGCGTGCGTTAATTGTTGTACCTTTGGATGAAAACAAGTTCAAAGTATCTTACTGTTGGTTTATCTTTTTTTAACATTTAGTTATCATTTCGTTTATGTGTTTGTGTGTTGGTGTGTGTATTTCTTTTTCTTCTTTTCTTTTTTTTATTAAAGCATATATCTAAATACACATACAAACTAAATATAATCAACTTTTAGTACAGATTTTCATAAGGTTTAGTTTTTTTCTTTTTTTTTTTTTTTTTGTTCTTCTTTTTTATTTTCTTACATTTACATGCATTTACAAAATAAGCACTTCGTTTAAAAATACCGTAAAATTTATTTTACGCTTTTCTTTGTTTTCGTTTTTTTTTTTTTTTTTTTTTGGGGAGGGGGTTTTCTGATTTTGGTTTTTTTCTCTTTTCATTAAAATTCTAAATAGAAATATCCTATACGAACACAAATATATTTTATTTATTTGATCAAACTAACTGCTTAAAGCTAAGGATGCGATCGACATTACTACAGCGACAGTTGTCCACTTACGTTGTATATTTGTTGCTTTATCTGAAAAACATGAGAGAAAATTATTCATTAGAAAAGGAAAAAGAAAACTATATTAAGTAATACTCGTGAACCTTTCGAACAAACATATTTGCTTATACATATATTACTCATCACCTCAAGTAAATGTAATTACAATGGAAAGGTATTTGTATAATTATTGGGGCATTAATGAGGCACTAAGAGAACAATTTCTTACACTTAACCCTCAGAGCAAGGCTGTCAAACTCAAGATTTAAGAGAGGACCAAAATAAAAATTTTTGAGCTTAAATGGATTGCAAAAGAACTTCAATGAGGGCTACGTAAAACAAAGAAGATCTTATATACTCTTCCTAACGCTAGGCATCACTCTTCTGTTACTACCATTCCTATTTTCAAAGATTTGAAAATTTTTTAATCAACATTGATTGTTTTTTTTTCTTGAACATCAACACATAACAACTGCAAGAAATTTGATCTTAAATGAAATTGTATCCGCGCGCAGATTCATTACGTATGTGAGAGAACTATGCAAAACTCGTATGTAATATCGTATATACTCGTCGTATAAGTTTTGTTAACATTCGCGGTTGGTTACATGTGTTTCGCGGGCCGGCAGTTTGACTCCCCAGTTTCTGACGTTCTTTGCAAATATTTGTGCCAAACAGTTAAATTGATATTAAGATTTAGGTATTGCTGCCAAAAAGAAGGAGTGCATACAAACGTTCGCTTTCTTAACACAACAAATGCATGCACTATGTATGCACGTAAGCTGTAGACATATGTTCAAAATTTGTGTTTTCTATTTAAATTTTTGCGACCGCTACAATAAGCGGACAGATGGAACGACATCGTTAAATTGATGCTAAGAATCTTTGGCTAATTAAAAACATAGCTTCTGCAATGGATGAACGCACAGACCGACATTTTTAAATCGATTTAATATTAAAGTTTAAAGAAATAATTTGACAAAAGTTAAAGGGGTTTCTAATCCGATTATGTAAACTTCAAGTGCTGCGTAATTTTGGAACAGCATTATCAAACCATACGTGTATGCATTACAAACAACGAATATATTTTTTAAGTTTTAAAATTCTGTTTCAAATTTTTGCATTTGCAAGAACTCTCTCTCTCTCTCTCTCTCACAACAGATGGACAGACAGACGGGCATGACCGGTTGATGTGACTATTTAGGGAGCCAACTAAACAAATACCTTTAATTTTTCGTGAAATGTAGCTTACGATATGGATGGACGGACAGGTCGAGGTATATGTTAGCAAGGGACTCCACATTTTAACCGAATTAATAATGACAATTTTGTAGCGGCCCGCTGCTGAGGTAATGAGTATAAAAAGTCGTAAATTTAAAATTTTTACGCTTGAGGATCTTAACATTCACTGTATTAGGGAATATCTTACCTCTACTTACCATAGAAAATAGTTTCCCGTCTTTTGGTATAGTTAGTACCGTGTAGGTAAAATGCACATGTTATCGGTGTAGGTGATTCCAATTTCTCTTTAGGTATACGCGTTCTAACGGTCATGCTATATAAGCCACTCGAATTCTGATCCATTTGCGTTAGGACTGAGTCTAGTATTTTTGTATCAAATCTGCTAATTTTGAATAAAATAAAATATTATATTAAAGTATTATCATAAAAAGAAATATATTTCTTTTTATATTTTGTATTAAGAATATTTTTGACTTTAGCTTGCTTACATGACGGATAGCACAGGTTGTGGATATACATTTTGCACAGCACACATTACTTCAACATTTTCATGTTCGCCATCCAATTTAGTTTCCAGTAAAAAATCCGATTCCGGAACTTGAAAAAATTAAAGAAAATAATTTTAACGAAATAATCCAACAAATTGAGAGCTTGTAGCGGATATTGGGTTGGCGGGGTATCAAAGATTTTTTTTTCCTCTTGCTAATAAAGGCGGGGGGTTATCCGAAATTGCTTAAATAAGTTTAAGCGAAAAAGACCAGGTCCGTTTTTGAGCAAGCGTAAAGTAATTTCTCATCAGAGGCTATAGAATTTTTGTATCAATTCTTGAGTACTTGCGTCTGCTAAGAAAAATATTCTTTATTCCATAATATATGTATGTATATTGTATGTTCTTTGTGAGAGCGTAAATTAATTTTACAAAATTTCTTTTCTGATTACGCGCTAGACTAATAAAGGAATAAAATAATCATAGGATAGCCAGTCTAACACTACCGCAATATATGATAATCAAACAATTTTGGAGGTTGTTGTCGGAAAAACACATTTTGAATAGCATCCAAGTTAATATACAAGATCGTCCTTGACGATCCAATACGACTTAATACGATTTCAACTGACGTCCGACTTCAACTTCGTTCAACTGTTGTCCGGACTTCATGTGTGAGCAGCAGCTGTCGTCAACAGAACATTCTACAACAAGTTCACACACAAAAAATTGAAAACTCTTTAGTCAAGTATACCACTACACCATTTCGGTTAACATAGCACGGCTTTATATGAATTGAATTGAACTTGAATTGAAATTAAATTATAATTGAAATGATATTGAATTCAAGTTGAATTGAAAATAATCCTTGATTCACCTTGAAGCCCTTCAGCTATATGGTATACCTCGGTATCGACGCTCGCCCGTTCTCAGTCACATGGCAGCCTGTTAAAGAACTTTGGCAGGTACGGACGACAGGTGAAGAGGGTGCAGATAATATTTCAGTGATATCTTCTTTACTTCATTTCGATTCTTCTAAATTCTTAGCTACCGATAGCGAAGTTACACGTGAATAAAGTGCATTTTTCATTCGGTTAGATGAACGAACGGACAAGATGATAGAACTAATTCGTTTTAGAAAACTTCGTTTAGCCAAAAATTGATATATTATGTTCTTCAAAATCATCCTGGACTTTAGTGATACCTATAGAAGCATTATTACATACCAAGCCAGTCTTCTTCACTGGCAAGAATTGGGCTTAAAAAGATTCTTTCATTTTTCGCTTTAATTAATAATTGTCTGCTTTAAGTCAGCTAAGCTCGAAGTCTCTTAAACTCGTCTCGTCGTATATGATGCAAGAAGATCATTCTTGTCCGAACGCTTTATAAATTTCACTTGAACACATGACAACAGATAACAGGCGGACGAGCTCATAAAATATGATTGACGTTTCATTTTAGTTACGAATCAGAGTTTTATTTAAGGAGTTGCTTGAAATTTTAAATACTTTATTTGACTCACCTATAATTTGTAAGCGACTACTTTTTTTATCGGTTGACTCGAATGTCTGCACAAAGCATGTGTATTCACCGGTCATATTCCAATCTGGTCTACGTATTGATATTACTCCCGGACTACCTTCTAAAGTAAAGATTTCGGTGTTTATTTTCGTTTTCATAATACCCTAGAAAGGTGAAAAAATGATCTGTGTATATGAACGAAATGACGATAATTCCAGAAATGAATTTAATACCATAGCAAAACCTTTCACGGAGGGTATCCATTGGTATATGGAATGATTATTGAATAACCACTTGAGTACAAAACCCTTTTCACGCGGACCCAGTTCATATTCGCAATCTAGCACCAAAGGATCGGGTTCCATATGACGTTCCAGTGTATAGGTATGAGGCACCTTTAGGTTTGTTATACGTACCGACTGGCTAACAACTAAGCATGGAAAAAAGAAACAAAAACAAATTTTTCATTTTTAGAGAATCCATAAACGATGCTCATAATTAATAATGAATTCACAGTTTTAAGGCTTCTTCACATACTTATTAACAAGGACAGCCAAGTTAGTAGTGTTATGCACACCGATAGCCTACACGCCATTGGTCTGTGATACATAGGGCTTCCCGAAGTCGTTCCAAAGTTAAACTTTGGTTTGTCGGCAGTGCAGGAATAGTAGTTAGTTAGTTCGGCGCCGTTTAGACTAAAGGATTTGCGAATTATAGTCTATACCCGCACATACGGGAGGTAAACGTTGCATTGCGTTTTATTTTTTTTTTTTTTTATATAATCCTTGCGACACAAATATAACTAAGGACGTAAAGTTCGTTGAATCATTATGCTGTCTTGATTAATTAATTGACGTTCCTCTCTTCTTCAGAGCTTCTTTTTGGCTATTACTGCACTTGTAATGTACCCTTACAAGTGGCCTTACAAGCCGCCTTCTCTCTTCTTTGGTTGTTTTTTTTCTTTTTTTTATAATATCTTTTTTTTTTTTTTTTTTTATTTGAATTTTATGTACGTGTGTAATTATGCTGTGTACCTATTGTTTTTCTTATATTTTCTTCTTCAGCCTTCTTTTCTTCTTTTTTTGTTCTTTTGCTCTGCCAACACAATTCCCAACTTACTGTTGAGGCTGTCCATCAAATTGATGCATTTTTATATATCAGACTTTCACATATTTCTCAAGTAAACTTTTCATAATGTCTTAACTCCAGCGTCTAGTATCCTCTACGTTTTAGTTTTATTTTTTTTTTTTTTTTAAGTTTTATTAAAAATTCTTGTAAATCACTTTTTCATGATTTTATAATTGTAAGTTTTAGCGAAAAATCGACTTCTGAATGGGGGGAGACGATATGTGTGTAAGAAGATTTTTTTTGGAACCCATTTGTTCGCTTATAGAGCTGATATCTTTCACCTGGTTAAGCACATTCAAACAGTTGTCCCTTTTCGGTAAAGCTTCGACATTCAAAGGATACGAATGCGCATATGCCGGCAAAATAAAGCTTTTATTTGAAAGTCCTTAGTCGATTTTTTTTTTTGGCTGCATTGCTTACTTCCTGTGGCGATAAAATTGCTTTAATCAAAAATTCGTTATTATTGAAAAGTTTCAATTACGGTTTATGTACTCTTTATAAAGCAAAATTCTTGAGGATTTAGTGATTACTCTTGCAACTTATTCCAACCACTCGAGTGTATCCATTAGTTAATTGTTTAGTTTTTTGGAAGCGCTTACAAAAGAGACCGCAATAGTTTAATGAAACGTACCAGGACATGGGCTTGAATGCACGAATCTGAAAAGAAGATAAAATAAATATTCCATTTCCATTAAAACATGTTTAACATTGTAGCTGTTGCCTCGTCCAATAATTTTTTGCAGAATAATTTTATTTGTAAAATTAGTTAATAGTTCGTAGGGAATAAACTTTTATACTTACTTCAAATGACGTATGTCTCTTATGAAGAGAGCATCAATGAATTCCGCAGGATCATGTGTCGTCGTAGTGCCGTCTTTCTGAACAACAACACCAACTAAAGAGTCATTCGCGATTCGTTTTATCATTCATTTAACTTAATAACTTCAGAATGCCTTCCGCTTAAAATTGAGCAAAAGAAAAACTAGCATCCAACACTACGTTGAAGAAGTAAGTGTAAGCCGTACAATCTTAGCACGAGAGCCTTCATCTGCTTACTCAGTTTGTCTGCGTTAAAAACTCTTAACCCTACTCTACGCAGATTATTTGATAGCAGGATATAGCGAAGATCTATTCGCCGTACATCGTTTATCGGTTGCATTTGAAATCATAAAACTTATAGCATTTAACAGGTAATAGTTGGAAGCCTCATTTATTTGTTCGGAAAATTGGAGAAGACGCAACGTAAAACAATTCGTTGGTATTGTAATTGAAGGAAAAGCGAAAAGTGATTATTTCTTTTTAACGAATTGATCGGGCGAATGAATGAAATTATTTGGTGGTTTTTTGTGCATAATGTCCCTAGAGAAAATGTTAAGTGTTTCGAAATTAAATAACGCGACGACTGGACGATACTTAATCGATTACAGTATTTAGGTAGATTAAGATTCCCGTTTTATATGCTATTCCTAGGGTCAAAACTGTTTAATAAAGTTTTTATCGTACATACATTTGGTAGATAGATGGACAGACGTATACAACTTAATCAACTTGGCTTTTAAGACTAAAATGAACCAACTTTATATGTACTATATACGATCTCCCGGAGGAATTTTAGAGATTCTAATCTCTTCTTAATATCTGAAAGCCTGCCAAAGACTTTGTAACGAGTTTTCTCTTAAATAGATGAAACTGTTACTCTTTTCCATTAAGCCTTTCTTTAGCCATGTAAAGGTTGTTTTACGTCGCGTAAGGTACACAAGCTAAACATTCTTAGGATTAATAATTTATACGCTGATATGATCTCAGCTGAGACTTTCTATGCTTGGAACGACTTTTTCCGTTACGCCCGAAGTTGTTGCAAATGTTGTCCCATCGAAAGGAACTTGTCTTTAAATCGAAGTAGCCCGCAAAAATGTTTCGATAATTATCATCCGCAGTTTGAGCACACAAATACATGAGCGCACAGATATCCCAGATGGACAGTAAAGTTTAAATGGATTCAGAAAATCACTCTGAATAGATATATATTATAATTGAGATGTATATTTTAACCCGATCTGCGATTTGCAAATTCCCGCATAAATTTAATATATCTTTCACACGGGTGGTGTTGAACTACACAGAGACCCAAAGCCTATTAAAGTACTAAAAATGCTTTTTTTTCGAAATTCGCGAATTTTCTTATAACATTTTTAATTTACTTGCTTTAGTGTGGCCGTTACTGAATTGCGCTTTAGTATACAAATTACTTTAACTTAAAAGAGTGGAATGGATATTAAAGTAATGAAAAAACAGAATGCGAAACGGAAGTACTATTATCCTGTATACATTTTTATATATTTTATATATATATATATATATAAGTTACTTTGAACGTATGTCTAGAGCAGTAAAACAAACTTAATTTTCTTAGCCCTGTTCTATTTTAAGTAAAGTGATCATACGATAAAGAATCTCAAGTCTTGCTAAACAAACCTATCTATCTAAAATACATGGTAGAGAATACGATACAACCTCAAAAAAAAAAACACTGTCAACTTACTTCAAAAATATGTTAGAAGCAGAAATACTAACGTAATTTTCTTAATCCTGTTCTGTTTTAAATAAAGTGAGCATAGGCGACCAAGTTCAAGTTTTGCTAAGATAAACTATCTATCTACCCAACCTGAAAAGGAATATCTTATCAGCTCACTTCGAAAGAGTGGCTGAAGCAGGAAAATGAAGATCAAGAAATTCAACCCTTGTCAAATTAACTTATCTATATAAAATATAGAGTAAGCATCACTGTACATCCTCAAAAGGAAAACACTATCAACTTACTTTAAAAGTATGGCAGAAGCAAGAAAATAAACGTAATCCTGTTCTATTTTGAATAAATTGAGCAAAGGCGAACATTTTCAAGTTTTGCTAATGTAAACCATCCATCTATACAAACTCAACAGGAGAAACCTATCAGCTCACTTCGAAAGAATGGCTGGAGCAGCGAAAAATAAAGCTAATTTTCGTAATCTTGTTTTATCTTATGTAAGACCAAGAAATTCAACCCTTTCTTAAGTAACTTATCGATCTAAGAGAGAGTCATTTTAACCGCGATTAATGCAAAAAATTGAAGTAATTTTCTTAACCCTATTTCTATATCGGGTACGATGAAAGTAAGATAAAAAGTTTCGAATCGCACTTAAGGGTGGAATTCGCTTAACAAATCCATTCAAGTAGTCACAAGAAGCGACAACTTGTTCGAGATTGGGTCCGTCTTATGCAAATATGTAGGTTGTACGCTTATTCTCTTTGTCTAAATTAATTATTTACACCGTAAACTTTTCTTTATTAAATATGCACAAAACGGAAGAGAGAAATAATTCTTTTCTTTTTTTTCAATTTCTTTTAAATTTCTTTAATTTCAACATTACATACGACTGTATATATACATACGCATAAGAGAACTTAATATCTATAAAAACACAGACACACAAAACATACATAAAACTTTAGTTAGTTTTCTTTTTGTTTTTCAGTTAAAATTACATTATTTCACTATTGTTTGACTTAATTCATATTTCGTTCAGATAATAAAGCGAACAGGAGAGTGTTTTTATTAGTGAATAAAATTTTTTTCACACAATAGTTTCATTATATTGGTCTCATTAAAATACATGATGAAGGTGCATATAGTTACAGTTATGAAGTTTTCTTTAACCTCGAATGCTTCAATCACAGGCCTCGGCGTCGGTATTACCAATTAAGGTCTCTATGCGAAAATCTCGTGCACTATTCTGCCTCAGAGAACGCCCGTGTTCGTAATCGAATGGCAATACTGTGGTCTTGTAACTACTATCACTGTCCTTTAGTTTGTTTATCGACACAGGATGTTTAATATCAGTACAATTTCCAGCCGCGCTATCATTATTTTTCTCTGGACGGGTTGTTTTATGCTGGATTATCGAGCCGTTCGATAGTTCATAATTATTGAACAGTAATACGCAGGAAGTGGTGGAACTTTTACAATTGGCATCTTTTTGTTGCTGTTGATTTAAACCTTTGATGATTTCGTCGGTTTCCGTACTTTGCGGATCTAAACGATTGACACTTAAACTTTCTATAGAATCGGATATGTGTGAATCTTGCTCATCGGGGCTTTCAATATCGATGCGATCACTTGATGATTCATCGCTGTCGTGACAACTTAAGGTACGCTCATACTGTTGCTGTGACTGTTGTTGCATTTGATTGGCTTGAAAATGCCGTTCTTCACCATTATGCGATAAATTGCTCATAGAGTACAATTTCATTTTCTCTAGATCACTAATATTGTTTAAGTCCATTACGTTGGCATTAGTACGATCGGGTAGAGCGACACTCGGACAAAATGCATCAAATTTTTCGCCAGAATTCGTAGCCGCTGCGTACATGGGTAACTCAGAGTTGGCAAAGAAATTAAATTTCTTATCATTACGCAGTGATTGATCGAAAACATCCGACGGACCATGTAGCATGTCGAAACAATCACGATTGCCGGTAAAATTGTTCACATTAAAATGTACGGGTACAAGTGGCACCGGTTTGCGTATCCAAAACGGCGACAGTGTGCCAAAAACGCTAGAAAATGGAAATCTTTGCATTGTTGGCGCCCTCTTGTAACGTTTCCTTCGTCGTAAGAAACTACCGTTGTCGAACATATCCTCAGCCAGAGGATCTAATGTCCAGAAGTTACCTTTGCCGGGATTGCCTGGTTCGCGGGGAACTTTAATGAAGCAATCATTTAACGAAAGATTATGACGAATCGAATTTTGCCAGGCGGGAAATTTATCCTTGTAATATGCGAAGCTGCATTTATGGAATAGAAAAAAAAAGAAAAAGCATTAAACTTTTACTAAATTTGAACATCGGAAAAATATCGAAAATGATATTACTTATTACAAATAAGCGTTGACTAAACTTTTAATTGAAATTATTCAATAATTTTTATAGCTTCTAAAAGCTGTTACTTGAGGACTTCTCTGTTATAGGATGGTCGAGGCAGGAAGGGAGGCACGGATGGAGACATTTAGGTTTTATAATGCTTTTGGGAGGCGCAAGGCGAGTCGAACTTTTCTTATAAGAGAGTTTGCAAGTCGAGAAGTGAGTAACTTTTTTAGAGACAACGCGACAAGTAAAAATCCGTATTTTATTTAGAAAGCATCAAGGCGATATTATTTCGACAATTTACCTACGGATGATTTTAGTGAAGTGAAGGTTTTTGATTGGAAAAAACACGGTACACACTCAGCATTACCTTGGAAAGTGTTATAGGCATTGTCGTCGAAAGCAAAAAATTCGTTTAGCTATCATAAAAAGGTATTCCGCAAATCGATACTGCTGAACGCAATCAGCATTTAAAAAGCAGGAAGATGTGAAGGTATTCTTGATAATCAAAAAGCGAAATTTTGAAAGATAGCTAACATACCTAAGCTAGCAGAAAGCACTATACGCACGATTTTACATGAAAATTACATCATGAGTATGAAACGTGTTTTTGAAATGCGTGTCCAAATGGACTAAGAAAGCACCGCGTCACAACTCGATAGGTACAGTGGCACAATTGCATTAACTGAAATTTGCGTTGCTCCTCCAACCACCGTAATCCGCAGATCTTTCCGCCTTTGAGTATTATCTCTTTGCGAATCCCCAAAGGATATTTTAAGAAAAAGGTTTTGGTCAAATAATAAAGCCATTCCGGAGAGTAAAGCCTGTTCTCACGGTCTAACGTATCGTTCTATAAATAAGGGATCGAAATTTTAAGAACGTGTTAACCCCATTGTGTTATTATTAAGGGAGATTGTGCTGATGAATAAACCCGAATTATGCCAATAAGCCATTTTTTTCCTTTACTTCCACCTCCTCTTAGGATTTACATGACCGACATACTAGTAACACAGTTCCAATTCCCTCGAAAACCCAATAACTTTTAGATCTTGTGAAAAATTTTAGCCCACCGCAACCACATCATAGTACAAATGCGAGTAGAATGAAGTCAACATTCAAAATCGAATCTGTCCGTAACGCGACGGCCTTGAAAATTCGTACCACATATACTCTGCTATTGAGAAAGCTGAGGAAGCTGAGCAGGGAACTCTGAGCTTAACTAACTGACCTTATTAACTTATATTGAAAAATAGCAGAAGAATAAGATTTTCATCGTAAAATCATATTTAACGTAACGGTTTCTTTCTTTAGCTTAAAACTTAACAGTTGTAGATCGGCCCATTTGCAACGGTAAACGATCTAATTGATTGTTAAAGGTGCACGTTATGCGGACGACATTCAGGCTATCCGACACGCATTCCGACGGAAGAAACAGATTACTGAAAACAAAGTAAGATGAAAATACACTCAATCAAACATGCAAGTTGTATGCAGAAATGCTTCTGAAGCATGCAGCGTATGTTCTTAGACGTGAGAATTGCAGCAATTTTACCTCTTGCTGCCAAATGATAAATGCTGTCGTTTAGCAAATAAAAGTTCTTCTTCTTATTCTTCGCGTTCTCCGTACAGGTTCTCCTTCTCATAAAGAATTCATCAGGAACGATTTTAAAGACATTATCCTCAGTTTGATTAGATTTTTAAATGTCAAATAAGTGACTTTTGCCAAAATCTTAAACGCAAATGGTGAGCCTAACCTTTAAAAAGGAATTTAATTACGAGAGTTTTGAGTTTTGTTAACAAACAAAAAGAGTTGTCCTCTTAAAACTGTACGAGGCGTAAACTTTGCAGAGTGTAATAAAACAAAACACTTTTACGAAAAGAAAATTTAATTAATTTTGAGAAAATTATATATGGGTTTTAGTGAAAATGTGCCACAACATGTCATCTGTATCTCGATCTAATCTAATCTTTTTATCTGAACTTTTGTCCGCATTCCGTGAAGGCTTTCCTAATTGCAAGTATATTTCCGAGGGCATTGTGGTGCTTAAGATTTTATTTATGCTTTCATTAACGCTCCAGTGGTCATGCACTTGACTTTTTCACATGTAATTGTTTGTTACGCAACAGATACTCACAGAAATTCACTTTATTTTACACTTTTAATGTCCAACACAACGCAGCCTAATTAACTAGATAAGCACATTATTGGTCTTTACACATACATATGCCCTTTCCTTTTGTCCTTTCGCTATTCAAAAGTTGAAATGAAAATCAAGACAAAAAGAATCATCGTTTTGAAGGCAACTTCTTTGTTCTTTTAGTAGAAGGTATTTTTCTTTACTTCACGTTTGCCAGCGATCTTTGAAAATTTTTCACGAAAAATTTTATCACACATATATCATCGTTTTTAAATTCAATTGTTATCGCCTGAATTCTATGATTCTATATTTTTACACAGTACACCACCTATGATGCAAGGAGACATAAAGTTTGTGCGGATGTATGCAACGCCCAAAACGAATCGAGGTACATCCACTTTTTATCATACCCATCGATTCAGAATCACTTTTGAGTCGAGCTTACCTGTCCGTCTAACGTGCGTTCAAACTGTAGGGCGCAAGTTTTGGCCTAAGGACGAACGCTATTTGAAAGGGTTCGGCTCGGATCATTTGCCATACAACCACTTATTTTGGAAAGTCGCTATATGGGTTACTGTAATAAGCAAAGTGAAGTGGTTCGGTTGATGGTGAGCTGTGTCCCACTGTAGCCATTTTCCTTAATATTATTTATGCAGATAAAAGGAAGCCTTTACGGCGATACAATCGAATGCAACTCTTCTATTTAAACTCTAGTTCGATTTTGTTTTTAATAAACATTTTGCGGAAATTTACCAGTGGTATTCATAATCGTAGCTTTTTACGATTTCGGGAGTGGCAACGGAGCAGAGGTGAGAAATTACCTTTCCTAACAATCTTAAATTGATTAGAAAGAATAGTAACTTTTTGTTTTGATGGATCGCTGGTCCACGTTTTTATGCGCGAGAAAATTTCTTGAATTTATATAAAATATTTTTATCCCTAAATACTTAATACTTAAACGTGAACACAATTCGAACTTCAAAAAGAAGAAAACAAGCCATAATCAAGATATTCGCAAAAGTCAAACACTTGGGCATCTTCGGAAATAATCGTTTAATCAATGCGCTGGCATGACGCAGCCAAATAGAGAGGCGATACTAGAATCAACGTCGAGGTTTTCGCTACTAAAAAACAATATTGCTTTGCTGAGGATTAAAGACCAAGATGTACCAATACGAGGTCATTTAATAAAATATCATACGGGATAAGGAGATGTAAACGAAGACCAGAAATGTTCAATTCATTTCAATGGTTTAAATAAATATTCGAGGAAATAATTTTGAATAGAATGGACCAAGCGATGGGTCTAGCTAAGACGTAATAAATATATGTCTATAGTTCAGCGAGCTTTCTCTGCGTAGAGTCAACTCTTTATATGCCTGAGGTGATAAAAGTGGTAAAATTTAGATAAGAATATTCTCGAATAAAAGATGCCATAAAGCGAGTTGATATTATAACGTCCAGTTCGTTATGGTGCGATAACTTTAAATTTTCGATAGGTATCGACCGATGTAACCCACCTGCAAAACATCTTTGCAAATGGTCTCGCGTTAATAAAATCGTATGGTTTTCATAAATATGTTACAAGGTGAAGCGAACTTATCGATACCGTTAGATTAAATTTTTGAGGTTAGGTTGACGAAAAATAAACACCCACACCCGAACTCTTTTTAGAGAAAATTCGAGATGTAATTAGCATTATAATTGGATTGCGAGGTGAAGTCAACTGAGCCCGAAAATCAAAAGATTCGTTACTACTGAATTTTATACTTGGGATTAGGTTATGAAAACATAAAAATCCACGAGTCGGTATCCCTCGAAAAGCTTTAAGAAGCTTTAAGAAGAAATTAAAGAAGTCTTTAATTTTATTAGTCACTAATATTATGAAGTTTGGTTTGACTTAGTTAGGCTCGATTGTTTAGATTGAGGTTAAGGAGAAGCAAACACCCTTCAGCTGAGTTGAGATCTTTTAAAAACAAATTTAACAAATATTTTAGTGATGATTTGACCTGATGATACGAATCGGGCATTAAGATATTAAGATTAAACTTTATTTTTAAGATTATGCTGGGACAAAGCAAATATGCACTAGTCTCTACGAGTAGAGCTTTTTAAAAAAAAAAAACAATCGCTTATCGCTGCCAGGTGAGATCTTTCAAATATAAATTTAAGAAAGATTTAGTGTTAATTTTGCCAAGAGGAAGGAACTGATCACTAAGGTGATAAGCCTTGACGCTTTTAGGCTTTATTTTTTTGAGGTTCACTTAAAGCAAAACACACGTCTTCGTACACATATTTGTTTGTAGAAAACTTTTTAGGCTTCTACAACCTCTCTTTCATTTAATTTAAGAGATATTTATAGTTAGCGTTACCAGGTGTTATGAATTAGTCGCTAAGACTTTGTTATTGTGAGTTATGTGAGGTTAAAATAAATATTCATGAACCTTTACCATTGAGGAAGTTTAAAAAGGAAATTTAAAAATTAATTAATAATTGGACCATCAGGTGAAGTTAATTAGTTGTTAAAATCATAACAGTTGGCATCATTGAACATTCATTTTGAGGTTACACGAAGGTAAGACACTCATCGACGATTCATTTAAATTGAAAAATGTTTATAGTTATTGTTACCAAGTCTGAAGTGTCGTGGAGGTAAAATAAATATCCACGAGCCTTTACCTTTTAAGAACGCTTAAGAAAAACTTATTAGCAGCTTTTGTTATGAGACAAAGTGAGTTAATCGCTAAGATCATAAAACTTGACATTGCTACCCTTGTTTTTTTGTAGGTCACGCTGAGAATAAATGAATACCTGCTGATTTCTACTATTAGGAATCTTCAAGAAGAAATTAACAAAATTTTTAACCGCTGAATCGTCAGGTAAAGTGAATTAATCGCTAAAATCATTAAACTTGATTTTTGAGGTTAATAAACAAATATCCGCAAGTCTTTAGGAATGGAGAACGCGTAAGATGGAATTCAAAAAATATTTACTGATGGTTACCAATTTGATAGTCCCTGACCCTGAGCGCATAAGGCTCGAGATATTTTTGTGGTAATACTTGGGAAAATATGAATATGAATAATGAAGTTCAACAGGAACTTTGATGCAAGCTTCACCGACGCTTCCCGTTGATTATATAAAAATGTTTTGGAAAATATTACTATATAAGAGAATACACTGAGGCGAGAAGAGCTAAAGATTTTTAAAAGATTTTTTATCGAAAATGAAACAAAGCGCTTTGTTTGACTATAAGATAAATATTTTGAGAAAACTTTTGAAGCATCGTTTGTAGGCTCTTCTCAGGCATTTGTTCTTCTTCTTCCTTTTTTTGTTTTAATAATCTATACACCAAACTATGCGTGGAATGTTCATTAAATCACAAAAATTTGTATTATTTTTCACTTAAAGAAACTTCGGCTTTATCTAGGAGGCGTAGCAAAGAAATTGCGTTAAAATTTTCCTTTTTAATTAGATTCCATCTTAATTTCAAGGCATTATTTATTCATTTTTTTTTTTTTTAAACTAATTATACCCAACCCTAATGTAAATTTCTTCAAAACCTACCGCGTCATTATAAAATCACAAATGCCACTCAATGTTAGTTTCTTTTGCGGTGACTGAAGTATAGCCATAGTAATGAGGGCAATATAGGAATAGGGGGGTTTGACGAGCGGTGTGTTATTGGATTTGTCCGTATCATCGCTGATCGATTGTTCGTCAATATTCGTTGATAATTGCTGATTGGTTGTTAGTTGAGGGCCGGAGGCTGCACGGCGTTTCAAAAGAGGCGGAGATACTGCTGCTGGATTTATAATATGATTATTGCAACCGTTGGTCAAAGTTATGTCGCTGGTTGATAACATGATTATTATTTTAGCGATTTTAAGAATGTTTTTGACTTTTCAAAGGAAAATAAAATGAACTGCTTGCGCGATTTGTTTTCAAAACATTGAAATATTTTGGATTTAATTCATTTATTATTTTAAAGATATTTATTATTATTTTTATTTATTTATTTTTTTATTTTTTTTTTACTTGTTATTTACACATTTCTATATATGTATATAGGAACTATTTTCTTGTTTTTAATAATTATATTTTGTAGTTACTGCTGTTGTTGTTGTTATTATTGTTATAAAATTGAATCAATTTTAGGAATTAATTTAATTATATTAAAATTTTTCTATTAAACCATTTACACAGACAAAGTTAATTTGCTTTGCTTTTACTTTTCTTTTTTTTTTTCTTGTTTCTTGCTTCACTTTGTTTCTAATAATTATAATAATAATATTAATTAATTTTTTTAATTATCTTTCGAATGTGTCGCGTTCGTTAATTTTTTGAGATTTAAGATTTTGTGAAATTTTGTGAAATACAAAGGTCCGCCGCATTTAAAAAAGCTTAATGAATATTATTATTGCAAAAATTAAATGTTAATCCGTGGACATCCTGACAAAGAGAGAGTAAAATTGCTTTCAGTTACGGTGTCCCCTTAAATTTTTGTCCGCTATTGATGGAATCCTTTGCACAAATGTCTAACTAATCGAATGAATTCTGTCTGCATTGCGCTCACTACCGTCACTTCTTCATAAGCGTAAGGCATTTAGTGATAGTGATGATGACGATGACAATGGCGACGGCGATAGCGATGACGAGAATTATGATAATGATGATGATGGTGATAATAATGGTAATGATGATAATGGTAATGATTATGATGAACGAATGGATGGATGGATGGATGAATGAATGGTGGTGGTTTATGTAGATAGTTGAGGAATAACAGCATCAGCATTACAAGCCAACCAAACGTAATCTTTTTCTCTCTTTCTTTGTGTGTACCTTTGCGAAAATGTTTTTCTACATAACTCAAACATTTATTTTATCGGTAACCGCTGCTGTTTTCATCAGCATTTTGTTGCTGTTGTTATGTTGTTGTTTTATGCCAAAATAACACTGAGCACTGATGCGGCTACAGCTTGCCTGGCCGTCTGTATTCCCTGCTTCTTTAGTTCTCGTCTCGTTAGCAAAGTCTTTTTTCTCTTTTTTTTTTTTTTTGTTGTTGTTTTTTTTGTTGTTTTTTGAAGCACAGTTGTATCTGCTGTGTTTGATGTCATTGTTGATGTCAAGGAAAAGGAAAGAAAATTACCCGACGCCATTAGTGCGAATAACACAATATGAACGCTGGTTGATGTTGTTATGTTTTGCTATATACTATAAGTGTGGTAGAGAGCAGGCAAGCCAGGCAGTCAGGCGTTGGGTGTTTTTGTTTGTAAATTTCATCAAAAAACAAAGAAAAAAAAAAAAAAAAAGAAAGAAAAGGGGATGCATAAAGAGATAGATACTCTGCATGTATATACGTATACATGTATATATAAGGTTGCGAGTGTTTGTGTATGTGTGTGTGTGTGTGTGTTTGCGATGAGAGAAATTGTTATTGAGCTAACGTATGTATGTAAGTATGTACGTAAGCTTATACAATAAACAAACAGAGGATGTATTTGAGAAAATTTTAAACGGATGTTATATTCTCTGAGTGAGTATGTATGTGTATATATATGCGTCTATGTGTAGTGTAGTGGCTTCGTGTATATTTGTACATTAACGTATAAACGACAACAACATAAAATGGCGTAAATCCCAGTCCTGTAAAGTAAACTTTTTGCTTTATATGAGAGCATGTGTTTATATACTTTATACGATAAACATCCATGCTTTTGCTAAGAAGCGGGTAATGGTTAGATGGCTCTTATGTTCTGTTTATATCATATTTCTGAAGTAAGCTAATGGAAGGAGTTATATTTTCCTCTTAAGCTACTTTGCTATGCAGATATATATAAATGTATATATATATGTATAATACAATCAACTATACATATGTATACGTTTAGAAGAAAAAAAAAAATAAGAACACAAACCATCATCATCATAGCTTTTGATGTGCCTTTTAATAATAATATTTTATTATGTGTGACATACAGGCATACATACGCTTATATATTTATTTATTTTTTTTATAATTCGCCTCCACGCTCATATATATTTTTCTTGTCTTTAGCCAGCCCGCCCGCCCGTTTGCCTTTTTAATACAAATCTAGTAGAAATCTTTTTGCATCTACTTTAGCAAATATTATTCAATTTTTATGCAGTTATGTAGAATATTTGTATGCATGCATCTATCCATTTATCAACACATATACACATACTGTACATTTATATCTGTGTTTCCCTTTGAAATGCATAAAGTTTGCATTTTTATGTGTGAATGTTTTTTTAACCATAACTTGTACATATTATTATAATTTCTCTTCTCATATCTACACTTAAATAAAGAATATTAAGGTTCGGTAGAATTTATGTAACCGCGAGAGGACAAGAACTTTTAATAAATCGGATTATTTATTAAAATGAGTAGAAAAGAGAAGAGAAGTGATTTTCGTTAAAAGATATTTTTTCCCTCTCTTTTAATTTTACTCGGAAAAAAAATGAATGAAGTGGTCGTGGCATCATCTTAATCTAGTTTAGTTAACTTTACGATTACACTGGAATGGGGACGAGATGGACTGTATATCCAAAAATAAATATGTCAGAGAAAATGTCTTCTTTTTCTTCTTGTTCTTGCTTTTTCTTATAAAATCTTTATAAACTTTGTTCAGGTTGCAGTTTATTAAAAATTTCTACACGAAAATTATCTCAATTTTTTATTATCGTAATTGAATGAACAGAGGAATGCTAGCGATTAAATGAAAATAAAATTTTTCTTGCGAAGAGATGGTTTGAACTTTGTTGTCTCAGAAAAGTGCAAGCGGACGAAAACAGATGTACGAACAGATGGTAAGACATGGCCCAATATTAGGTTGGCGGGAAAATTCTCTCGCATTTTACTACCTACGAATGATTTTACTTGTCCGATTAAGGGGATTGCGCCTTGTGGGATATCAGAGGAGTACTCTCAGTTCACTTTATCAGTTAATTGCGAAGCGCAAAGTGAATAGGATGGCAGTGGATAAAGTCCATTTAAGAGATTGTATATGCTACGTGTTCCAGAAATGAAAGCAATGCTTCGGTTGCTTGTAAAAGCTTAGGTGACACATTGCGAAGTAGAAGGTTGCCAAGTTTCCGTCGTTCTAGGCAATAACAACCTTTTACGATGCACATCCAACAACTTTCCGAGTACAAAGGAACTTCATACCTGCCATTCGACTGCTGAGCAACACCTTCACACATATTCAAAGTCAAATGTTTTTTCAAAATACGACAGAATTTTCCCGCCACACCAATAAATTTAGAACTTTTCTTACTAAGTGACTCATGGATGCAAACAAGTGGTAATCGGGAAGACTTCAGTGCGGTGAACCACATGGACTAGGATTTTCCAATTGATTCCAATTTCTGATTTAACCATTGGATGGATGTACGGAGGCCATGTAGGCAAATTATCCTGTCTTTTTTGATATGTCCCTCCGTTTTTCGCATAACGAAGATTTGCAGTCTTTTATCGGTTTTGATCTCTGTAACCCTTCCTAAGTGATATAAAATTGGTTTTAGAAGGGATCTGTGAAAGTCCATATGTATCATAATTATTTAATAGGAGATCGTAGCAATTTACCAACGGCCATCTTATATACTATTATAGGTGGGAGAAGGAAGCTCCGTCATGCATTATGCATTTGTCGCGCGAAATACATTTAGCCATTGAGTTTGTCGCTTTGGGCATTTTATGTTATTTTACGACGGTCTTTAAAATCCTTACACTGAAATATACGTAACTCTCTTTCCCCGCGTCCATTTGACGTGCCGTTAGTCGAATATGTGCCTTTCCAAGTGGCACAAGCATCAATAGATGGCGCCACTGGAAGAAGCTACTTTGAAACGATCTTATTAATTCATTCTAGTAGGTGGATTTACCAAATTTACTTCTTTCAAGCTTCGAATGCTTTTTAGCACGTAGTGCGATTAGAATACCAATGCCCTGTGAATATCATCACTTTTGGCCGAATTGATGCACTCCGAACACCCAAATAATAACAAATAAGAAAATTCTATTCGGTTATGACAAACTCTTCTACATATTAATGTTAAAAAAAATCGAAGACAATAACATTTTTTCAGTCTATAATATTGAGCGGTCGTGTCCAGTTTTCTCGATTTTCCTACAGAGATTACAGTTTCATAAGTTGTAAGTAACAAGCAAAAGTTCAAATTTTTTTTTTGCCTTTAAGAACACAAATTATCTCAGCTCACGGTTCATTATGGGTACGTCTTTTGGCCGACTTGGCCTATTTTTCGCAACAATCCGTATTTAGAAACTTCCGACGATTTTACAAATTTTTAATCTGATATCTGCACTTTTGTAAGCAGGAGAATATGTACCATAAACTTACGCGGACAGACAGACAGTCCGACGGACAGACGGAAGTCTTTAAATCGATTAAGCACTTGATCTCGGTCAAGAGTAGTTATGCTTTGTAGAGTCTCTAAAAGGGTCCCTTTCGCTGTTGCTAATGCTTTTACAACGTGACCCCATCTCTATAATGTGTTAAAACGCGGCCAATGCTCAACAAATATCGTGCTTTTTAGGATCGTGGTCTCTTTTTTAAAAGATTAGAAAGCCATTGTACTTTATGGGCCTCTAAAATGGTGCAACATGATCATATAAAATCCTGTCGTCGACTACCAAAGCAATTGACTAGAAAACTGACAAAACCATCGTCGTAATAAGCTTTTGTGAGTTTTTTCATCTTGACAACGATTCGCCGTACATAGTAGGATTCGTAAGGACGAAAAGTGATGAGTTCATTTTCGACTCGTACGCTCCGCCTAAGGAAGCTCTAAGTTAGAATGGGATAATGATATAGGATAGACGAAATGGTCACACAACTAGCGGGAGCAGCGTTCGTTCATGAGAGTCGAGGCGAATAAATGCCTTGTTCGAAGATCATCAGCTTTG